AAAAAACAAACAAACAAAAATGCTCGTACTCGTGCTGCCCCGACGTCATGCCAGCGCATAGTGGGAATGGCATAGGCACGATCAAAACAGGCTAGGACCGCCACTGATGGTTATAATATTAGTTTCTTTTTAATAGACTGAAACTGAAATCAGCAAATGCTAAATGCAAAGTTTCATTTGTATTTAAAGCAGGGTATACTACTTTCAGTGATATAGAGTAGCCTTTCTTTGGGGGTGCTAAAACCTCCTTCAGTCCATGCAGATATCCAAAGAGATTCATGCTAGGCTAATTGGTGATTCTGTGTGTGAATGGATTGTTTCTGTGATAGACTGGGAACCTGTGCAGTGTGTCCACCTTCTTGCCCAGTGTCAACTGCGATGGCGTCCAGGCCCTGTGTGGTTAGAAAAACTGATGACTGGATGTTGTGCATAAACTGGCCTGCTGCTTTAGGCCAAAATTAATGTTTATGTGTAAAATACAACTGAGGTCAAATTAATAGTAAGAGCTGTTGGTCTATGTAGTAGAGTGTGATTCATCTATGTGGCTGCTGTAGAAGACACTGTGCACCAATGAAGAGTGAGAACTTTAAAAAAAGAAATTAAGTATACAACAGTGATTCCAAAATAAGTTGGGTCACTGTGCAAAATGTATATAAAAAATGCAAATCTAATAAACCACACTTCACAATAGAACATAAAAAAACATATAAAATATTTAAACTAAGACGTTTTATTATTTCATGTATAGTAAATAACTGATTTTCAATTTGGTTACAGCAACATGTGTCAAAAAGATTTTAAAAAAGAGCATCTTAGAGAGGTACAGTTTCTTAGAAGTAAAGATGGGTGAAAGTTCATCAATCTGCAAAAAACTGTGTAACACTTTCAGAATTATTTTCTTCAATATAAAAATGTGTTTTTGTCATCTACCGCACACAACATCAGAAGATTTAAAGAATCTGGAGAAATCTCTGTGTGCAAGTGACTAGGCCGAAACTCAAAATTGGATGCCTGTGTGATATCTGGGCTCTCTGGTCCCACTGAATTAAAAACTGCCCTGTTTCTGTTACAGAAATCACTGTGTGAGTTCAAGAACACTTCCAGAAAACACTGTCTGTGAACACCGTGCCATCCGAAAATACAGGCTAAAACTCCAGCATACAAAAAAGAAGCAGTCTGTTATTAAGGTGAAAAAAAAAAATTCAAACCTACATGGCCTTGTGTGAAAAAGTGATTTCACTAAACCTAATAACTGGTTGGGCCACTCTTAGCAGCAATTTTAAGTACCTTCATTTAGAAGCTGCTTTTTGTCTTTACTTGTTTTTTCTTTGTCTAATATTTGAATCTGTTTGATAAACTTAAATATTTAATATGTCGTGTAAATGTAAATCATGTGAAGTATGAAGTGGCCTCAGACCGGTACATCCTATTCTGGTCAAAGTGTGTGGTTTAATGATTTAAAATAGTGATTTCTAAAGAGCAGTGATGCACAGCCCCTCTTTAATCCAGATTATAGTGAAACACTAATCCTGTAAAAATGTGGTTTCTTCAAAACAAATATGTTTTTGCTAATATGTAATGTGCTATGTGTACATTGTTATTGGTAAGATGAATGTGAATATAGTGTTCACATGTCCATTCATTTTCTGTAAATCACACTGTGTACAAATAGTGGGATTTCTAAAATTCAATGAACTGATTGGAGGAGCAGCTGTGTTCAGCATTACCATTGATTGTCCTGTGGCTGCTCAACAAGAGCATTTGTGCTGCTGTGTATTGTGTGTGTGCGTGTGCAGTCTCATGTTGTCAGGGTTATATAATCGGCTCCACATCTGACAGTCAAGATCACTGACAGTCAAGAGAGTTTGGTCGACCTGAGGCAGCCGACTGATGTTTTATCTTGTGTTTGTGCTCGGCTGGCCTGGGGTCAGTCATGAGGAGCCGAAATCCCTCTCTGGTTCTATTAAAAAGGGTGGCAGAGGAATTAGCACCCCAGGTTGGGTCTCTCTTTTCATTCCTCCTCACCAAAGGATTTAAAATAAGACCAACTGGGCCTGTTGCACGTTTTTACTTTATTAATATTTTGAATTAAACCTGCTGAAATGTATAATTTATTCATTTATATAACAAACATTATTAAACACTTATTTTTATTTTTATACACATTTTCAATAATGGGCAGACCAATCTGAATGTGGGACATTGTCACACATGCAGCAATTACTACCTGTATGTTTTTCAAAAAGATTGATTATAAATTCATTATAAATTATCGTTATGAATGATTTTAGATATTTTTGTTTTTCCAATATGCTATGTTACAGTAATCACCGTCATCCAAAGCCATGTAATAACACACCTCTGCCTCTGTTGCACTCGCTCGGTTTCCTGTATAGTTCTCTTTACAGCGCTTTGATCTTTGTGAAATCATTGTTAAGCAAAGCATTGTCTATAAAAAATAAGAAGCTGTGCTCGAATCTGCTTTAAGGTTCAATGTAACTCAGCTGTTTGACTATTAGCAATTTCCTGGTAGCCACATTAGCTGTCTATTATTAAGGTAGGAGGTAGAAGCCAATGATAAAAGGCTAGCATAAACATATTAATATTATATTAATAGAAAGTATTACCCATTATCAAGCTAATTTACTTTTTTTTGTTAGCAATTTGTCAGTTTGTAGGTCCAGCTTTATAAAGACGTACTGATGTAAGATTTAAGACTGACTAAGACTGTGTATGAAATAGAGCTAGGTCTCCTTTTGGTTTGTGAAGTCCCATTTTGAAATCTGATATTTTGCATTTGGGTTTTTGAGATAAAGTAGTAAACATATTTAGACGGGAAGGTGGAGTGCTGTATTTTCATATACCTTGCAAATCTAGTGAGCATGATTGTGTATCACACAGAAGGATACTTGGTAATTAGGGCAAAGTCACATATAAATAAAATACTGGAATTAACTGACTAATTTGTAAATGCTGAGGTTTTTATAATATCAACAAAAAATAATTAATCAAAAACTGTAGACATTAACCACCTTCTTTTTTAAAAAACAGTCTGTGCTTGAGGCTACAGGATCCATTCAAACAATATAGTTAATACAAATCACATGCTACCTAGACTTGTTTTGGGGGCCTCAGACACACACACACACACACACACACACACACACACACACACACACACACACACACACACACACACACTTGCAATCGTATTCCTTCCAATCTTCCACATTATTTTTTTATAACACTGATTCATGACTTCTTTCTTTCTCGAACAGTCCAGACTCTCCTTGCGCCCCCCCCCCCCCCCCCCCCCACCTTTTCTCCAGCACTTGTAGTCATCTTCCTGTGTAATCCTCTCAAAAAACCCATATGAAAACTTCATTGGTTGACCAGACATAATCCTCAGTGAACTCTAAGTACCTGAATATTTTTGATTGTAAGAGGAGGAAAGCCGATGGAAAAAAAAGCTACCCGTGCTCTGCTGCCAGACATTTGGATTCAGAGTATAACATAATCCAGCAGCTATTTGAAGTAAATCTTTGGCCAGTGTGGCTTAAATAATTAATCTGCAGACATAATATATGACGACACTTCATGATTAGCTATTAATAAACCCTTTAACGAGATTTTATCTCTATCCTTAAGTGTTTCACAGCAATTCTTCATAGTCAGGGATAACATACTGCACAGAAACAAGTATTTTCTTATTTTTTTTCTTGTTTAATATTTTATTATCTAGAAAATATAAGCTTCCTGTACTTTTCATTTTACTTAAAATTGCTGAGTTGAAGATGTTCCACTATTTTGATTCCTGGAGAAATTATGGCGATACCAGATAGGAGCTGAAATGATAAGCGCTGGGTTACTACTATTTTACTCTGGTGGTGAACTGACTTTCTAATTATTTATTGCATAATGCTCTTTGAAACAACAGATCCTTTCATGTTGGCAGTTAATAACGGCCTGCAGCGGTTCAGGAAGTGGGGTCAGAATAACCCTTCCTACCAGATGACAGCTCCATATGCCCACCAGTGTCCGGGCACTTCAATGTACATGTCATTAAGGCTCTGGTGGTTATTTTATGTTGATAATTACTAAAATAATCTCTAGAGGACTCTTGCATCTAGCAGAAATAGTCCTTTTTTTCAAGTACAGATCAAGGAACCATAAATGTCCAATTTCTAATGGAAAATGGTTGACTTGCCTGCAATAAATGAGAAAGTTGCTGATGACACATGTGTCAGCAGTTCTTAATTATGCAACAACACACTCAACTGACAGACTGTCATCAGTTAATCTGCTTAAAAACACCAACTGGGGGCTTCTACTGTATGTTACATCCACTGAGTGTTAGGTCCACAATGCTGGTTGAATGAATACTACAGTGTAATCACCCTGACACACATCCGGTGGAGGAAGAAATACCCAGAGCTAAACTCAAGTACAAATAGCGATACTGAAGAGTAGAAATACACGCAACAATACATACTGTATACATCAAATCTTTATACAGTTAGATCTTGATGCTTATTTTTGATAATGGTGAATTTTATTTGATAGTTTACCTCCTGTACACAACTACAGTGGATTTTAAAGCAAACAATCAAGATGTGATTGACCTGCAGTGTTTCAATATTAATTCAAGCTTTTCAGAAAAATTTGGAATTAGTGTTTTTTAGGAATTACAACCCCCTTTACACATCATTCCATATTTTCAGAGGGTCAAAAGTAATTGGATAATTCATGGACAAGCAGTTTCATGACCAGGCAAATCCTTTTTCCTTGTTTAGCTGATTCCAAGTGTTGAACTTGCTCTGTGCATCTTTTCATTTGAATTCTCAAGTTAAGATTCAAGAGAAAGAGGTTTCCAGCACTGCACACATAGCTGCTATTTAAACCTCACAAGGACTGTCAGTCATTAATGGTAATTTACATTTGTTAGATAAGCATCATAATCTTTTTGAACATGCATAAAACGATAAGAAAAGACAAGAGAGTTTATCTATCTGCAATTCTTTATTATTTGATTATTGAATGGATATTGAGTGCATGTTGTCACTGTTTTAGATTAATCAGGATGACTGCAAATTATAAACATTACATCAGCCACACAAAAACAATGTTTTCCAGTATTTATAGGATTTTATAGGGACCGGTCATTATACAAAATCTACTGTATACATTGTAGAGTAGAATTGTTGTCTTTCAAATTCCACCAACTAATATTTAAGATTTGAAAGGACCTCATTTATTTCATTCATTGCATTTTCCCAGGAAAGTCTCTTGGAGGCATTTCTAAACACCTGCCAGTCCACAGTAATCAGTTCAATTAGTTGTACATAACGATAAGTTATTCGAATGTGTCACCGCTTTGCCAAGTACTGGTAAAAAATCCAAACTGTCACCCTCAGATGAGAGCAAACTGAGGGTACCAACAAGAATAAAGCCCTTGCTCCAAACTCAACACCTTCGATCTTGACTAAAATTTGGATCTGCCCAATTAATACGTCAAATGACTTCAGGAGAAAAGTTTAATTGTATGGTCAGACGAGACAAAGATTGAGCTATTTTGGCACAGTCACAAATACACATCAAAACTGATTTTGGAATCAATAAATTAGGCTAACAATAAACTTCTGAAACAGCCTTCCCAAAGCCCTGACCTCAACCCTACTGAACATTTGTGGACTGTGCATAAAATCCATTCGTGCCAGGAACCCAACTAATTAAAATGAACTCTACCAATTCTGCCAAGAAGAGTGATCAAATATTAAACCACAATTATACAGAAGCTTGTTTATGGCTGCTAAAAGCATCTGGTTGAGGTGCAACTTGCTAAAGGACCAAATAGTAGTCGGGGTGTGTGTATGCGGATTGGAGAAAAATAAAAGTACTTTGAAACGTGGGCACCAAATTCTTGTTTTCTGACTCCAATGACTCCATCTGGGAAAATGAACAGTTCTAAGAAATAATTAAAAGCCCAGAATTATCATGGCATTCATGTCCATGATGAGTGTGAATGATTTGTGACCACAAATGTATTTTATGTTGTAACATAAAACAGAAAAATGATTTGTTAAAGTAGTCCTCATCTTTAAAAACATATCCTTTTTAAAACAACTTTTATATTAAATTCTGAAGCACTCTGCTGTTTTCCAAAAGTTTACGTGTGTTATACATTTTAGCATTTCATATTACGAGTATCAACAGTTGGTAAAAGAAAACCATAAGAATGTGGTACGTGGTTTCTGAAACCTACTTAAAAAAAATAGTCATTTTATAATAACCAGTATGGTACTGTGTATTGTTCAATGTTGTGCTTAAACAATGGTGTATTTTACATAAACATCAAAGTAAAAACAAATTTCATGATATGCAGAAGTCAAATGGATGAAGTGAAATGTTCCTTGAACATTAATTCATAGAGCACTCTGGACCAGACATGAATTCGCCTCAGTAAATAACACTGATTTATTCAGTTCTTGGTGATATTGTATTGTTATAGCAAACTTTAGATGCTGGCGTGGAGGAAAGAAGCATGTTTAGTCGATCTACAGGCAGAGTGTTGTAGGGGCTGTGAATTCAAGAATGGTCCTCTTTTTTTAGAGGATTAATGCACTTCCATCCTGGTGAGAGAGATCACTCACAACCCTGCAACACATGATGGGATATCAGTGGCCTGAATGCGCTTTCATATTTCATTAACAGGCACCATAAAGATTAAGAAACTGAATGTCAGACTGTGATGTCTCTTTTTTAGCTGAATTAATCTATTTAAGAGCCTTTCATCTTCAACCAGATAGCAAAATAGGCAACTAGTAAGGAGAAAATGCTCTGATTGCTGTCTGCAAGGACATTTGCACTATAAGCAAAGTGAAAAATGATTAAAATATCCCAGGCTGCTGTAGCAGAGTCTGTAAAAGAATAAATAGTCATATTTGCTCTGTGCATCACTTGCTCTGCAGGAGTGTTTGCATTAAAACTAACTGGATTAACATGAATGGATGGATATGTTTAATTCTGAACTCAAAATTAAAACAAATCACATTTGAATTGAGTGACAGAGAAATTCATGTGGTTACAGAAGTAGCCAAGCCCAAAGTTTCTGCTGTTGTGTATGGAACTGTATATTATTAAACAGCACAATAAACTAATGCTGATCTCCCAAAGTCCATTAGGAGGTACTTGTTATTTCATATGTTTATTTTGTAATGTGACAATCATTTTAGAAATACAACTGCAGACACAACGGGGAGCAGAACAGGTGCAATGGCTACCACTGCTCAAGACACACAAAATGCACAGACACTCACAAACATCTATGTACCTGCGAGAAACCACAAGGACAGAATGCATGTAATTATTGCATGCTCAGTTTATTTGGACTTGTTCTCAATTTGAGGCACATCAATCTTTTCCCCGGTGATTAACTGCCAAATGCCGCCTCTGTAGTTCTCATTTCCCAGTGCGTACAGGAGGGCATTGAAGGTGGGAGTAGTCTTAGCCAGGATAGGCGCGATCTGCAGAGACAGGACCCAAATATTATGGTCAATTAGATTTTTCTTAGCAGAAATATTAGGAAATAATTTGTGTTGTTTATTCATGTTTTGGACTCTACATGGCGCTTTGCATGTCTTCTGTAACAAAGGGCAGAATTCTTTAAATTCAAGGAACAAATGTTTTATATTAAATATGTACATTTGAACTACATGCAAAAACAAGCAGCTAAGCTAAGCTGTATTTCTTTAATGCATTACTAAGTGGAGTCAGAAAAACTTTGTGCCAAAGTATGTAATGATAGTTGTTACCATTCTGAGCTTAGGTGAGACAAGGTTTGCATTCTCCACAGCAGCATAGAAAGCCAGGATCCCATAGGGCCCCCAGCAGAACAGCATAGTCTTCAGAGGAGTGTTGGGGTTGAACTGTGGAGGGGAAACAATAGGTAGTGGAGGGAGGATTAATGTGCAAAGGAATGAAAAGTGGGAAAAAGAGAGGATAAGAACAAAAATGATTAGCAAACCACAAAGAGTGAAGGTGAGAAAAAGGCTTTGTGTCATGAGGTTGTCTGCTTGGAGGCAAGTCACATGCCCTGGTGAAAACGAGTTTGTGCTAAGATCATCAATGCTAAGCTACAAAACAAAAACACTGAGTGAGTGAATAAGAGGGCAGGTCTGTGTAATCCAAGGCTGAAAGCAGACATTATTCAGTTCACACATACAAAGTAGCACTGACAAATTTACATATAGTTTTCACAATTCCTACCTATAAGTAGCTTTAGTTTTCTTAACATCGTTTCACTGACACTATATTACCTTAAAAAAAAAGATTTTTGACCTCACAGAACTGAACACTTTTGCTTACTGTGCATACAAATGTCTATTTGTCACTTTTTGGTCATTTAATTGTATAGTAACTTTTTGGGTTACTGTGTGCACAGATTGAGTTTAGATTTACTCTGTTCACAGAGCTCCACAAATGTATGCTACACATAAGAAATGATGAAAAACCGGGGTTTATGTTTGATTTAAAAGTGGGATGAAAAACATATGATTTCATTGTGAAGCACTTTGTGATATTTATCTTGAAGGATGTTTTATAAATAAATATTTACTTACTTATTTAATAGGCTATTATTACACACTCAGTTTGTACTGCCTGGGAAACAGACCGTCCATAGGGAAACCAGACAGTGAGTCCTTAAAGACCCATTGTAAAAGGAAAGTCCGAACACTTTTTTTCTAAAAAATTAAATTTGATAGCTGGGGTCGAGATAAAAAAAAAGTGTTAAATTTCAGTAAAACACATTTCTGTATGCACCAAAGCAGCTTTAAAAAATTCTCCATAATGATTTCACACATTTCAAGCAGCACCCAACTAACTGGGCTACCATCACAACCAGCTGCCTCTTATAAAGACATATAAGTTCTTGTTTTGCTCCTGATTTGTGATATAGTAATCTTTTGAAAACAGGTGCCAAGCAATCAGAGTACATTAGTGATTTTCAAATATTTTGTGGGCTTTCAGTTTTTGTATGAAAGCAGGTTTAAACTTTAGGCTCTATGAGGACGATGTTGGCAGTGCAATCTAGGTGAACTGCTACCAATTTGGTAGAATTGAATGAACTGACTTTCAAATGGGAACATTACATTAGCTAAACCTCTATAAACAATTTGTTTTTGAGGCCATTTTATCAAATGTGTGTTTGTGAAAGACCGTCCTACACTGAGTGTTAATGTTATCTCAGTAAAATGAGCTTGCTTCTAGGTTCATGAGGTAAATAAAATAGTTTTGTTTATAGAGGATTGTTTAATTTATCCCCAGAGAAAGATGAAGACTCCAAAATGCTCGAAATAAAGAAGTGATAACAATCAGACCAAGTCAGACAAGAATAGACAAAGTTCTCTGTGTTTAATGATACTTTATCAAAATAAAGCCACATGCACTGTAGTGCTTTTGCTGGACATTAGCCTGATTTAAGCTTATAAAAATCCCATCCGTCCATCTATTTTCTGTATCACCCCTGACAGTGGGTGACACACAGAATACACACTAGGCAGGCTGCCAGACAAATTACAGGGCTAACACAGAGCCAGCCATTCATGCTCACATCCACACCTACATCAAATTTAGACTCACCAATTAACTTAACATTCGTCTCTTTGGCCCATGGGAGGGAATCAGAGTACCCAGAGAGAACCCACAAAAGCACAGGGAGAACATGTAAACACTGCACAGTACCACAAAGTCTCTATTATTAAAGCTAAAAAGACGGAAAAAATATTGCTGACTTAAACAGGCTGTACTTTAAATAACAGCAAATATACTAAGCTTACAAAAAACTAAATAAAATTGTCCCAACAGCTATAATGGAACTATAGCTAAGAAACTGTGATCTGTCTGAGCTGTGGAAGAGTACACAAAGTCACTGTCTGTTAAATCCTGATCAGGCACTTACTGCTGTTGTGCCTGGCAGATAAATCTGTGGCTCACAAACTACTGTTTTCTGTCTTTTTCTAATACAAACAAACCAAAAGAAAAAAAAAACCCTCAATGACATACGAGTCCACTTAAAGTCAAAATGTCCAAGTGTTCTAGCACCATGGTGAATCTGTGTGGTGCTGAGACTGTGAAAAGAATCTCCGAACTCCATCCACATATATCGGGGATTCCCTACATACTTATATTTAATCATCTGTAAGTAGCTGAAAAGAAACACTGACATTTGCTTATGCTTGAACCTTTCCAGAAGGGATAATGATCAGCTCTGTAAAACTGATTACACATTTACAAGATGGAGTTTTCTTTTAGATAACCCCAAATTATTTGTGACCATTTTCTCTCCTTAATTTAGGTTGTGTCACATTCCTAGGCGTTGTTCTGCTTCCAAGTTTTAATGCAGACTTTCCCCCTTTTCTAATAATTTGACTGTAAACTGTTTGATTATTACATAATTACTGTTCTCTGGTAGAAATGGACCGATCCAAATATTAGTATGGTATTGGTCAGATACTGACGTAAATTGGATCGGATATCGGAGAGAAATAAAAAATGTAATCGATCCATTAAATATAAAAAAAAGCACCTCACAAAACTTGCGACAAGGCATAACTTGGATCATTAACCGTGGCAGCAGTATGCCTCAGGTGATAGAGCGGCTGTGTGTATAGCCTACCAATCTGGCATTTCATCTCCGAGGAAGTTATCCCAGAGAGAAGTAAAGCAAGTGTGTAAGTTCATCTCTGAATGTTTGTAAAGCATTCCCGCGTTAAGCTTTACAGCCGATATATGGAGCGACTGTCTCTTCTCTCTCCCTCCCTCTCCTGCTGCTACTTCAGTCATGAAATCATGAAACTGATCAATGATCAGCTGATCGGCTTTTCTGTCGCGAGTCCATCTCTCTTGCTTGTCTATCGCTCACTTCGCGCCAGAAAGAGGAAACCAGCGGCTGAACAACAGCAGCACGTTTAAGCTTGATAAGCTGTTGTTAGAATTTATTTAATATTACTTTCTACACCAGGATCTTTTTCTACGCAGCTGACGGCTGGTAACTGTGCAGGGGCGGATCTAGCAAAGTTTAACCAGGGGGGCCGATAGGGCATGAACAGGGAAAGGGGGCACAAAGACATACTTTTCTTTCTTATTCTCATTTAAAATGTCCAGCTTTTAATAAATAATTATCTGAATCTTACAACCAAAGTTTTAATCTGATGTAAAATTTATAGAAGTCCATTACTGTACATAGTAACTATTAAGTCTAATATACCCTAGTAAGCTATAGTACTTTTTCCTTTGGGAAGGTACCATCTGTGCAGTCTGCAGTTCTGTTGAAGAAAGATGTTGAATCTATTTAATTATTCTTGAAAAATAATTGATTTCTGTGCATTTTTTTTTTCACACTGCATCAAATTAAAGTTGATTACATCAATTAAGCATCATGAGGTGGAGGGTGGGTGGTTCCCTATTTTTATTTTTTTTTTTGCTGGGAGTTTTAGAGCCCTATTAGTTAGCTTGCTTACTCTTTAAAATACCAGAATAGGAAGGATGGAGTAGGTTTAAGTTTATTAGATTGATCAGTATTGCTGAACTATTAAATATTTTGGGTGCAGTGTATTTTTTGCATACAGGTATAACAGAATAGCTTTAGTTTTTGTTTGTTTTTAAACTTGAGTATGAACTTATACAAAAAGCAGCAAGATATTTAAAAAAAACAGTTTTATTGATTAAAAAACACACTATATCAGATTCATATCGGTATCAGCAGATATCCAAATTTATGATATCGGTATTGGACATGAAAAAGTGGTATCGTGCCATCTCTATTCTCTGGTGGAGTACTGGGTGCATCTACTGGGCAGTTTGTGTTTGTAATCAAAGTGTCCCTCCAGCCAGCTCGGATGACTGTAAGTAATGAGCTTATGCAACACAAAGCGGGTCACCTGATTCAACCCCTCCAGAACTCCCCTAATGAACATTGTTCTTCTCACTGCACACCAGTACCCACATTCCCAGCTAAAGCCACTGATCTTCACCCTGTGGTAATGACCTACATATATCCCAGCGTAAATGCTCTTCATTCACACACTGTTTTGTGTCTCTGAATAAAGGCCACATGAGGCTATTGTGCTTATGCTAGGTTGAGGAGAATCCCTCTGATTTCTTTCAGTGGGCAACTTCAAAGCATAGAGAGCCTTTACAAGGACTACATATTTTAGAGGATTTATGCATCTGTTCTTATAAATGTCAGATTCTTTGATTTTGGAGTAATTCCCAAAATTCAGTTAAACTTGTTTGGATTTGTTCTGTATGCGTTTCTTGCTACTCCAAAGTGAATCTGGATATCAGTGCAATCTACAACACCTTTTTCCCCAGCAAAAGACATCTTCTTCTAATCTTATGTTGCTAAAGTTTGTGCATAATTTAATTTACTGAACTTACTCTGGGGTTTCCTGTCTTCTTGAATTTCTGTGCAATGGATTGGTAAGAAGACATGACGACAAACACCTGGATACCCATGTTGAAGATGCTCATTGGAACCAAGTAGGACACGTAGTTTCTATGGACAGAGACACACACAGCAGGTTAAAAAAAGTGAAAATAACATATATTTATCTTGCAAGCACTGTACAGAAATTATGTTTGTATATGGTACCTGTCTCCCTTGCTGTAGTCCAGTGTGCAGCAAGTCCTGAGGGGCTCGTAGTCGTACTCTCCCCAGCCAATGAGGGGCATGGCGGACCAGAAGGCAGTGAACAGCCACACAAACACAGCCAGAGTGATGGCACTGCTCCACTGCAGCTTTGTCCCTGGGAAGAACAATATTCTTTATGACTAGTCTAAACACCAGCAACACAATGAATGCATACTCAAGTAGGCTACTGATTTTGTTTCTGTTTTAAATGTCACACTGCTGCTAAGAAACAAATGTGCATTCTTAGCTAAACTAATATCTTAACTAGAGCTGCTTGTTTGCAACAGTTATAACAGAGTTAACAACAGTGTAATAAACCCTGCACTAACCAAGGGACATTTGAGTTGAGTCATTTCCTCTTGCCCATGTACTCTGGTAATGATGTTTAAAAATAAGGTGTAGGACTTATTGTTAACACTCAAGCCTTCCAGGTTGCAGTTTTAGTACAGAGGTGTCAGCCTGTGTTATAGCAACTGTTCAGGTTGCTATTTATTTGCATATTGTCTCATTATTTTGTCTGTAGAAAATTTAAAGACAGCAGTGTACTTGGCTGATTTATGTGCACATTTGTGCAACATAGGAGAGGAAAAGTTGACTGCATTTGGTATCATCAGCCAGATATTGACTTACTGGTGCAGTACTGGTGATATCTGTCCCAGGCAACAGCAGCTACAAAGTGGATGCTGGCAAGAGCTGTCATGAAGCCCTGGAAACCATGAGTCTGGCATCCATCAGAGCCATAAGGCCAATACCTAAAGACAGAGGATGTATTCAAAGTTGACTGACACAAGAAACCCCTTAAGCACCAATTTTAGTAAAATACATAAACAAATCACTAGTATAACATTTAATCCATGAACTGGTGAACACTGAGAGCAACGTGTCTCATTTCCTGATTGCAGTTTGAATATGCTCTGTACTGACCCTCTTCACTGTACAGCCTTAATTGGACCACTCTACATCGATTATACAGCTCTGTACAGATGATTCGTCACAACAGGTGGCCAGCAGTAGCCTATTGTCACCGGCATTATTTTCTCATTACATTTCATCCCACCCACATGCGGATGGACCTCGATGTCCATTATGAAAGGGGTGGTTACATCACTCACCTCAGAAAGCTGGAGAAAGCGGCGATCGTGGCGTTCATGGAGATGCCAATATCAGCCATTGCTAAACTGAATACTAGGAAATTGCTGGGAGTCCTCAGTTCTCTCACTTTGAGGAAAGCAAGCATTGTGACCGCATTTAGAAAGAAGCCCAGCAGACCTTTGGGGAAGGGGAACAAAAAACGCACACAATGCAAATCAGCGCGCACAGCGATGCTTACTGCGAAATAGCTCACACATCAGGCGAAATTCGTCGCATTCATTTTTATTTTTATTTTATTTTGTTTTTAGACCATAAGTAAGCATTATTTTGCAAGTTTACAGAGAAACGGGTCCGTGTCAGTGACCGGGAGGAGACATGTCCTGGCGTAGGTTAATGGCAAACACAGCAGGCAAAGTCCTCGTAGTATTTGGCTGAATTCCAAGACATAACTTACCCTCCACAAGCAGACAAGATCCCAGGGAAAACACATCAAACTCGGAGAAGCCCTCCGGTAAAGGGTACGAAGAAACCATCCTGAAGCCTGGTTTGACACACCAAAGTGCAGCTGTCACAGACTCCTCTCGTTCCGCTTGTTTACGATGCCCCTCGGTGTGACCGAAGAGAGCCGGCTTTTAAAGGGGCATTTCACGTGAATGCTTGCAGTTTATTATGTAAAGCCTCTCTGTCGCCCCAATCCGCGCAGGAATGTCTTAATGAACGCGGAACATAACCCTTAATGCGCATTTACGCGCCGCAACAATAAAGCCTTCTATTAATTGCACAACAAGCCTTTGTGTTGTGGTGTCCCGGTGAGGATGCAGCGGCTGCTGAAGTTAAACGACGAGACTCGGGTTTGACCGAGTCCACAGCCGTGTATATACACAGGTTTGCTTCATGGAGGCACAACAAGTGTTTGCAAAACAATGCCCCTGCCAATCAGAACCACACCTGCATTCCCCATGCATCAGTGTTTAGATTTAAAACTGAAAAGCCTAAAAAGTACAACTGAAGCCATAATACTAAAAATACACAGTGATAAATGTCTGTGGGCATTTGCTATTATCTGCATTCATACACATTATTCAAAATTAAGATTAAGATTAAGACTACCGTTTTCACACCAGTGCTTTGCAGCCTGTGTGTGCAATGTGTTGCAATTCAGTAAAGCTATCTTAACCAATTATTTATTGGAAGCACTCTACAGCGGAGCCATGCCAGTGCTGCTGTTCTGTATCTCTGTTTATAATTTTTTGTTCTTGTGTGCAAAGAATCAAAGATTTTGATCAACAGATTGACTTCAAGTGGTTAAATCAGCTGTGCAAGGTGCCTAAAATGATAGAGGATAAAAACAAAAACTGGACCAGCATAAAAAACAAACAAACAATATAGCACACAGTGGGTTTGTGTGCTTCAAGACAAAAACTTACAGTCAAGTTCAGATTTTTCTTTATTGATCAACATTTGTGGAAATTACATGAAATCATGCTATTGTCCCTAGACTTCTGTGGATTCCTCAGGTTTCAATATAGGGAGAGGGGACAGAGATCTCTCCAAGTCTCATAAGGATCAAGAATCTGGATAAATTCAGATGGTAATGTAAAAAAAACGTGCTACTTACTGAAAAAACTCATAATGATTAACAGTCACGGCAGGGCTCAAATAAACATGCTACATTTGAGGCAAAGAAAAAAAAGCAAACATCACAGTGGATTATGACCATTTCGGAAGTGTTTTTCTGTGGTAATAAATAGGGACGTCTCTGCGCAGCCTATCCGATTCCGGGAGGCAATACGCATCCAGATGAAACGAACGCCAGCCTTTTCGCTAATCCTTGTCTATCCTTTTTTATCTCGGGACTCATAGTAGTCTGATCACTATGGGGCAGCGAAGCGGTGGGACAGCGCCGTACGGATGACATTCCTGTAAATGAAAGAGAAAAAAAATAGTCTGATTGACTTCAGTGGGCGCAAAGTGGGCGCATGTAGGCAAATTGCGTATGCATAAAAGTTGGCCAAAATGTTCCTTGTCCTGCTGCTGGGGCTCTACGTGGCCACGGGTCAACTTTTTTCCCCAGTGAGCGCCTGCCCTTCGCAGTGCAGCTGCTTTTACCACAACCTGAGTGATGGATCAAAGGCGAGGTAAGTTGGATGCCCAAAGTGAAATGAATGTATCTTGTGTGGTATTTTTTGTGTGTTTGTTTCTTTGTTTTGTTTTATTTGTTTTTTTGCACAGTGATGCATTTTGTCATCATATGAGGACAGATGTTTGCACAGAGGTGAACACGTGTACAAAAGATAATTCAGGGAGTGCATGCCGCTCCAATTTTATTTAATGCGGGATTATCTTTCAAAGGCACTTTCAGGCTTTCATCTATGCTTTTTTGTGTTTTGGTAGGACGGGGAATAAGTTTTTTAAAAAAAAATCATTATCCACATAACTTTTGCTGCTTGTGAACTTTTGAATACACATTTGTTGTCATTAATTGTCGATTTAGTTTAAAGTTTTAGTGATTCGTAAACTATGCACAAATGCAATTTGTGAAGTTAACTCAAATATTTTCCGACTTTTAGGAGCGTGATTTGCAATGATCCCGATATATCTCTCGTGCCTGTCGGGTTTCCTATTGACACCTCCAAGCTGCGGATTGAGAAGACATCCATCCAGCAGATACCCAGCGAAGCCTTCAACTACCTCTCCAGTTTGGAATTCTTGTGGATGTCTTTTAACACGCTGTCCGCCTTGAACCCGGACAGTTTCCGGGGGCTTTATAACCTGGAAGAACTTCGGCTGGACGGGAATGCCCTTACCGCCTTTCCTTGGGAATCTCTCATGGATATGCCCAGCCTCAGACTTCTCGATTTGCACAACAACCAGCTCACTTCCCTGCCCGCGGAGGCCACCACGTACATCAAGAACCTCACCTACTTGGATCTGTCCAGCAACAGTCTGGTGACCCTACCTGCAGAAGTGCTGTCCAATTGGCTGGCTGCAAAGCCTGCACAAGGGCCAGACAGCTCCAAGATGATACTCGGTGAGAGGCAGTGCTCATCCTAACATCAAGTCTCCATTTAAATCCTTTAAAGTGCATTTTAGGTGCATTGTTTTCTTCTGAGCTTAATGAAAGTGTGCTAACTTTTTGCAAAGCAACTTTTTTTTTTATTTTTTTAAAAAGCATCTTAAGCTTACATAAGCAATATATAATTTGACAACAACAGCTGTTTCTGGTGAGTAAAAACATATTGTATAAAAAGTAACATTGGAAAAAAGTAACATCTTGTCTTTAATATGAAGGTAACAATTTCAATAATAATTTCTGAAGCTCTTATAATATTTGATATTTCATCTTTAGATTCCATATTTAATAACTAATATTAACAGGCTGTATATTGACATCTATTACATGCTTTTAGAGTGTAACATAGCAGATTTAAGATGCTTTTGTTTAAAACATTATCTCTTATAATGGGTGGATTTAAGTTACATTTTATTAAAGAAAAGAAAAAAGAAAAACACAGTTCAAATTGTATATATATAAAAATACACACAACTCTATGCACTCTGTTGGTGGAGGTGTTGTGATCAACAACGAGTCTTCTTATAATCTTCTTGTAGGGAGTGTGAAATGACAGCAAAGTTTGATCTTGATCTCTAGTCAATTTTCACCATCATCATCATCATCATCATCATCATCATCATCATCATCATCATCATCATCATCATCATCATCATCATCATCATCATCATCATCATTGCCATAGTCATGGCCATGATGTAGTTTATGAATTAAATATTAATCCTCTTACAGGATTAACATCCCTACATCCACACCAACCATCTGTAGGCTGGTCTATCACTTCGTCCACAGCTGGACACTTGTCTTCCTCCTGTAGCCTCACTTGTACCCTTGCCCTTAGGTCTCCATGACAACCCCTGGGTGTGTGACTGCCGGCTCTATGACCTGGTCCAGTTCCAGAAGTCTCCGACTCTTTCAGTGGCTTTCATCGACACGAGACTTCGATGTTCAGCTCCGGAGAGCGTGTCGGGGGTCCTGTTCAGCGACGCAGAGCTTCGCCGCTGTCAGCTTCCACGTATCCACACAGCTGTGGCACGAGTAAGGAGCGCTGTTGGAAACAATGTGCTGCTCCGGTGTGGGACCATTGGCGTCCCCATCCCAGACTTGACATGGCGCAGGGCAGATGGACGAGCCCTCAATGGAACAGGTGAGTCAGCAGCTATTTGGATAGATGAGATAAGATGATTTTGTGTGCTCTGTATTGCTGCTGTTAATTAAATAGAGAGCCACGAGTGGAGTTAGTAAGTCTGAGTGACATCTATTGCCAACACAGTGAGTTACGCAACACTGATCATCAATGCAACATTGTGTAATCACCAGCTTGTTGTCTCTTTTCACATTTGTCAAAGGGGACGTCTCCGGTGTCAAATTACTTTATTTTTTTAAAAATCGTTCTTCTGTTGTTATTTTATAACTGTGTTATTCCATCTCTGCCACTACAGTCCAGCAGGAAACCTCAAAGGAAGGAATCACCTGGTCAATCCTCAGTGTACCAGCAGTGTCCTACCGTGATTCAGGTAAATTCATCTGCAAGGCCACTAACTACGCAGGGAATGCAGAGGCTGTCATTTCCCTCGTTGTCTCCAACTCGCCAAAACCAGAGGGGAACCAAACCAACAATGACAAGAAGCCCAAAATCAAAAAACCAAACCAAATGGGCAAAGCTGCCTACCAGGAGAAACTGGTGGCCAGATATGTGGCTCCAACCTCTGCTCCTTCATCCTTGCCGGCCCTGGATCCTGGCCTCCTGCCTGGTGTTGGGCCTGATCCTGGACTATCCAGTTACAGCCTGTCTGAAGGAGCCACCCCAGGGCCTGCCACCTCCCCCAACTCAGATGCACTGCTGGATCTGGAAAAGACTAATCTAAGTAACTTGGCAGCTAACGCCTCATCGTTACAGCAGGACCCGGACAGAGTGGTCCGCTCAGTAAAAGTTGTAGGGGACACAGACAATACAATTTCTCTAAACTGGAGAGCCCCTAAAGCCAAAAACACAACAGCATTTAGTGTGCTCTATGCAGTGTTTGGAGAGAGGGACATGAGAAAGATCAATGTTGGAGCTGGGCAGAACCGTGTAACCATCGATGGTTTGGTGCCCAGGACCAAGTACATTGCTTGTGTGTGTGTGAAGGGTCTGATCCCCAAGAAGGAGCAGTGTGTCATATTCTCCACTGATGAAGCAGCTAGTGCTACTGGTACCCAGAAGCTGATTAATGTTATTGTGATCACAGTGGCCTGTATCATTGCAGTCCCGCTCACTGTTATTGTATGCTGCGGGGCGCTGAAGAGACGCATTCAGAAGTACTGGGGAAAGAAATCAAAAGACATCCAAGATTCATATGTTACATTTGAAACACTCTCACCCGGCACAAAGGCCAAAGGGCTCGAGGGTGAGTATTTGAACAGACTGAATCCCGAGGAGTCCAACCGGCTGCTGTCAGCCCGCTCCAGCCTGGACTCCGAGGCCACAGCTAAAATAGAGGGACAGCCTAATGAGTACTTCTGCTGACGTCATGCTCCAGCTCCGGCTCCTGCTCCACATCATCTTCCCCGCACTCACCCACACTCACGTCACAGTCCAAACCCCAAAACTCGTTCACATGCCCACCGGCACCCTCATCCCCATCTCAACCCACATTCGTATCCCCAGCATTACCCATATTCTTCCCCTCAGCAGCATCCTGACGTCAGTCCCCCTGTAACGCGCTCCCATACACCCCCTCCCATCCCTCCTCGCTGGATAATGCCACCAACTCCACCGCCACAGAGAGCCAACTTCTATCAACGGACTTTTGCACGCTGCACAATAATGGAAATATCAGTTTAAAGAATTTGGGAAACTGCGTAGATCTGGAAAATTTCATGTTTCTTGCAGATGTAGTGAAACTCACTGGACTGTTACACGCATATTCATCCATTAATATTAAACTGCAAGCGCGCTCATGCTTTTATGTCTAAAAGAATGTTTTTTATCACTAAGCCTGTAAGAAGAAAACATGATGCATGAAGTGAAAGAGCACAGCAAACACTAAAGTTTTATTCCACCTCACGTGCACGGCCCAGCGAAGAAACCTCTCCAATCCAATTTAATTTAAAGGGAAGTCAATGGTAGACAATCCATTGTTTATATCATATATGTATGTGTATGATTTGTAAATACTTTATCAGATTATGTACACATATACATATGCAGTTAATTCTGTGCCTCTGTATATATCTGTCATATGTTCTGAGAGAAGATATACACATAGGCATGGTTCATTTCTCTGGTGAATGGAGAGAAGCTGGAGCTGGAGAGAAGTACTGAAGGACTGAACTATGACACAATGTAAATAGGGTGGAGATGGTGCAAAAAGGAAATGTTAAATCATTTATATTCCCCCAATGAGGCACATACTTAAAATCTTTCCATGTGACTATTTTGTGCCACCTAGAGGCATCATTACCCCATTAAAAGTGGATCTGTTCGTTCCAATGATACTTACCTATTTGAATATAGTTAAATAAACTTTTATACTGCATGTACTTGAGTGATATTGTGTGTTCTTATAACTCTACTTCACCTCACAATAATAATCAGTCTCCATACTTTGGTTCTGAGATACTATGGGTCTCTGTAATCTTCACTTACAAAGTTCATTAAAAAATATTTTGTTTATATATCTGCATATTTAATCTCTTGGACAATATCAAACTTTGAACTATTTATAGTTTACTAATCAGAATATAGAGCTATCTAAAAGGCACAGTGGGTCAGACCTAGTGACACTAAGTGTTAATCGTGTGTGTCTTGCCCAAGATTTAAATGTCACTTCTTCCTGCACTGTACGTCAGGGATTAAGCTTAATAGGCTTCTCTGGTCTGCCGCACTCGGCATGTCTGGAGCACGAATGTAGCCCTCAAATTCAGGATCTTTTTTTTTTTTGTGGACTATGGACATAATTTGTTACCTGCTTGTTATAGCTTTAATAAACATTCAGGCTTGTGAAACTTTTTCTCAGTGTTTACGCGGGTGCAGCTGTGTAGAAGACAGACATGGAAGGTAAGAACTGGTTTCAAGTAGTTCAGTCCTCCTGGCGATTTCTGTTTTATTTATATGTCTGTGGGTGTATACGAGTCAGTGATACAGAATATAGTTATAATACATAGTTATATAGTTATTTGCCTCCAGAAGGTAACATTTGTTTTTTGACGGATCCTAGCAGTCAGTCAGATATTACAATAAATAATAACATCATCATATAAACTCTTTCTTTTAATCTTAGGTCATTAATATGTATGGAGGAGAGAGCATTTGGGGCTATACCACAAGACCTTCCACATGAGTTGACAAAAATACGAATTGAAAAGTCTCAGTTTACTGAAATACCCAGAGGGGCTTTCTCAAAAACGTTGACATTGGAGAACTTGTGGTTGAACTTTAATGAAATCACACTGATAAACTCAAAGGGTCTGGAGGGTTTGAGGAACTTAACCGAGCTCCGTTTGCAAGGCAATAAGCTACGTTCAGTACCATGGACAGCATTCGAGGACACGCCGGCTCTCAAGATCCTGGATCTGAAGCACAACCAGCTGGACGTCCTATCGGAGCATGCGTTAAGGTTTTTGCCAGGTCTGACTTACTTAGACTTATCCTTCAATCGTCTTACGGTGATATCGAAGGAGGTCTTCCAAAACTGGCCTCTCTACCAAAAATTACAGAACATGGAGGAGCGGGAGGCGACAACATCTGGGCCAAACGTCGTCCTGGCACTCCACGACAATGCCTGGCTCTGCGATTGTCGCCTAAAGGGCTTCGTGGAGTTCATAAGGTCTCTGAGCCCTCCGATTATATTGATGAACTCCTACTTGACTTGCTCAGGGCCGGACTTTAGGGCGGGCAAGTTCTTCCATGAGATAGAGCTACAGGCATGCATGAAGCCCGAAGTCAGCACCCAATCAGCCAACATCAGTCTGCCACAGGGCGCCAACATCACCCTGCAATGTATCGCCAAAGCAAGGCCTGACCCTTCAGTGTGGTGGACATATGGTCTGAAGATAATCAGAGGATTTCATGGTAAGAGTGTGGTGACCATAGTGTGTAATAAACTACTGCACATCTGATACTTAAACACACATTTCAATGGTGGTGCAGCAAACCTTTATTAAGATCAAGAGGATTAAAACTCAATGTATGCACATGCTGATGTAAGCACCACCAATCTCCCAATCTGCACAACACTGTCAGTGTTGATTAAGAGTCTACACTGCTGTCCATCTTGTTTGGCCACCTTGTAATTAAATAAACCGGCATGTCATTAGACTTAACTTGCTGAGAGGAGTGCTTACTGCAGATCAATCAAACAACATGCAAACTCATAATAATCACACTACTGCCCCCATTGCTATTCCACCACTATTTCTGCTGCTGACATTCATCTGTCTTAGCTCATAAGAAATATTCTCAAACATTATAACAATATTGAGCCATGCAAGTATAATAACTACAGTCTACAATGTGAGATCACAGGAGAATAATTATTATTTTAAACCTTCGATTTTGTGGATGAAGCAAAACAAACCATCCTCTATTTTGACTTGAGAACAACAAAATTGTTCAAGTTGCAAAATTCTTGGGATTTGTTATAGATGGAAATATAGTGCAGGTTACAGTAAATTGAACTTTTTAGCTCCTATCAGGGTAATGATCACTTCAGCTTAGGTTTGCACAATATATAATGAACATTAGTTGTTATTTTACTGTTTAACTGTTTAAAACAAAAAACAGACAATGTGTATCTATGACTGTCTAATAAAATACAGGACTCTTTAATTCTATGTATGTTTGTGGAAGATCAGTTGCAGGACACTTTTGTTTAGTCTTTTTATTTAATTTTATTTAATGTTCTTTAATTTTTAAAAATATTTTACTCTGTAAGCTTGTTGTTCCCATAAAATAACAGCCCTAATGTCATCCCAGAATCTCAAGAAAGAGTGGATGATGACACCATCAGATCCCTCCTGGTGATCCCCTCTGTCCATGCAGCTGATCATGGTGTCTACACTTGCATCGCTGTCAACTTCATTGGAAACTCCTCCGTCAGCATCTTTCTAGAGGTGCGCTCTGCAGGAAGCTCCCAGTCTTCACTCCTCCCAGCTGTACCGCGGGCTGGTGATGAAAATGTCTACATCGACATCCGCATCGCCAAGCAAACAATACGGGGTATCTCCATTGAGTGGTTCGCTGCCCTAGAACGTCCCACTGAAACCTGGTTCACGATCCACTTTGGTCGTGCAGATGCTGATAAAAAAGAAATAATCTACATTGGACCTGGGATTAATTCTTACTCCATCTCGGACCTGATGCCTGCAACTAAATATGAAATTTGTGTAACCCTCAAGAATCACGCACCACGCCCAGAACAGTGCATCATCTTTGTAACAGGAAGTGACATCACTGAGATGGAACAGAGGGAGAAGCTGATACATATAGTAGTGATAGTTTTAGCCATGGTGCTGGCAGTGCCTGTAGGCATGTATGCATGCACCACTGACACCAGGTTGGCCTGTTTGGATGGTATAATGGAGAGCTGGAAGAACCGAAGGAGAGACAGAGGCTCAGCAGGAGGCATGGAAAGGGAGAGGCAGGGTACCTTCGACAGTCTGCAGGCCGCCAGTGATGAGGGCCTGGTTAATAAAGGTTCCAGTGAAGACAGGAAGGTGAGGAGGAGGTCAGAGGACAGACTGAATAAGGCCAAAGCTGACCACAGCAGACTCACAGCTGAACTATATTAAAAAACCCTCAGTTAAAACAACAACAGAAAACATGGCAGTGACATTGTTATAGAACAATGTCTTACTTTCTATTTTTGGAATAAATAATAGAAATACTAGCTCTACTATACTGTGAAAAAGTCTTGAGCCACCCGTTATTTCTCGATATTTGGCTTGTTTTTTGAATGTTTTTTTTTGTGTGTTAAGCCACCTAACACTGACCTGAATCAGACATACATAATAAAGACACTTGTGCCTACACATAACAAACAACTTAGTAACAAACCTATTTTAAATTCTATCTTTAGGCACTTTGTTTCGAACAGCCTGTTGCAAAAACAGATCATTTCCCCCCATTTCTTTAGTCTATGAAAAAAGCCAAAGCTAACACAGTTGGATAGACATAAAAAATATGTTTGCTTCAACAAGGTGAGTTTCAAAGTGCTATTAGTTGAAAACGTCTAGGCATGCTGTGCAGTATATGCTTTAAAAGAAAAGAAAAGACCTGACACATGCCCTGAGTGAGGCATTGGGCCCTTCAGTCGATCAGTCGATGGATCAGCAGATCTAGAGCCCAGACCTCAAATTTTTGAAGAGAACAGAGAACAGAACAAAAGGCAGCCAACATCCAAAGAAGACTGCTAAATTAAATTACAAGAAAGCTTGTCTCATAGAGTTAAAGATGCGTTGAAAAGTATAGGTTTTTATTGACTTTAAAGCTTGTTAGAACTCTACAAACTCTGTTTTTGTCTTATATACTATAATTCTAAAAATTTGGGCACGTTTTAAAAGAATTGTTGCACTTTTTTCCCTTTATCCTAGCAAAACATGCAGAAATGAGGAGTGGCTCAAGATCCAGTGCTGTTAGGCTTATATTACTACAATATTCAGGGGAATGATCATATTTTCTGCCTTGCTTTAAATCTCATCTCTTCCTCTGTTCTAGGCCGAGGAGGTTGTTGCAAAGATGTGAACGATGGCCGTTATGTCAAGGATTTGCACCAGGGTAGAGGCTGTGCTGAAGTTGATTTTTTTCAGACTGAAGTATAATGCATCTCTCTTGTTATCACAATGCAGCATTTTTAACTATCAGTAATAATTCATTTTATAAATATTTGAAACAGAAAAGAAAAAGCCTTTGCCATTGATTTCAATCAGAACGATATCAAATGACTTTCTAAAGAAGACTTTTTTCCAGCTTCTCCAATGATGGATATTAGCTTCTTTATCAACTATTATGTGTTAGCACTTAAGCATTATTCTATGGATTTACATGCGTGTTAATTTTACCTCATTTTCTTCTTGTCATGTCAAAAGTGTAAGTTAGGATGGATTTTTAATTAGAAAAACAGATGGTTATTATATGAAAAAACCTCACACCTTGTAAATAGAAAATGTTCTAGTTACATTTTTTGTGTGGTAGTGCATATATACCTCAACATGTTTCATGTGTGCAGACTAAAGTGGTTGTTTTACTACATTTTCTATAAATTCTACAAAGGTTTTACATAAAGCAAGCACATATGCAGAATTAGTGTCAGTTACTATAGATTCTTACAAATACCCAGCAGAAAATATATTTTGCTTTAAAACATACTCGCCAATGTCCGTTCTCTGGCAAACAAAATGGATGAGATACGGCTCTCCATCACTAACAACAGACGGATTATGGACTCAAATGTCATGTTTTTCACCGAAACATGGCTGAACAACAGCTGCCCGGACAATGCTATCGAGTTAGCAGGACGCCACACACACCGAGCCGACAGGCTAGCAGATGACTCCGGCAAGACCAGAGGTGGAGGTTTGTGCATTTATATTAACAATGCTTGGTGCATGAACTCCACTACTACTGAGAGTCACTGCTCACCTAATGCGGAGTTTTTAATGGTCAAATGCAGACCTTATTATCTCCCCAGAGAATTCACTTCGATCATACTCACTGCCGTGTATATACCCCCCGACGCTAATGCTAGGTTGGCCATGAAAGAACTTTCTGCAGCCATTAACAAACACCAGAATAAACACCCCGAGGCTGCTTTTATTGTTGCTGGCGACTTCAACCACACCAACTTAAAGACAGTCCTCCCCAGATTCCACCAACATGTCTCCTGCCACACCAGAGGAGACAAGACTTTAGACCATGTGTATTCCAACCTGGCTGGAGCCTACAAAGCCACACCCCTCCCCCACATTGGACAATCGGACCATCTCTCCCTGTTCCTCACACCTAGGTATTCACCACTCATCCAACGTGTGAAACCTGCTGTGAGGACAATTAAAGTGTGGCCAGAGGGGACAGACGCAGTGCTCCAGGACAGATTTAAAAACACAGACTGGAATATGTTCACCCACACAGACCTGGACCAGTACGCCTCATCTGTACTGGATTACATCTCCAAAACCACAGACAGTGTCACCACCCAGAAACGGATCACCATGTACCCCAACCAGAAGCCTTGGATGAACCGGGATGTTCGTCTCCTCCTGAAGGCCCGCAACACTGCCTTTAGGTCAGGAGATGCACACGCCTACAGTACAGCCAGGGCTAATCTAAAGAAGGGCATCAAAAAAGCCAAACACCATTACAAAAAGAAGGTAGAAGAACACTTCTCCAACTCCAACCCCCGATGCATGTGGCAAGGACTCCAGACCATTACAGACTACAGGACCACCAAACCCTCCCCCGCATCCTCTGATGTCTCCTTCCTCAACGAGCTCAACAACTTTTATGCTCGTTTGAGCGAGGGAACCCCACAACCACAACCAAAGCAGACATGACGCCAGACCACCAACCTATGACTCTCTCCCCCACCGATGTAGGAGCGGTGCTGAGCAGGATCAATGTCCACAAGGCTGCAGGCCCTGATGGCATCCCCGGGCGTGTTCTCAGAGCGTGTTCTGGGGAGCTTGCAGGAGTGCTCACAGACATATTCAATCTGTCCTTGGCCCACGCTGTGGTACCGGCCTGCTTCAAATCCACCTCCATCGTCCCGATACCCAAAAACTCCAACCCATCTTGCCTCAATGATTACCGCCCAGTAGCACTCACCCCCATCATCACTAAGTGCTTAGAGCGACTGGTCCTAGCACACTTCAAATCCTGTCTCCCCCCCACCCTGGACCCCCACCAATTCGCATACCGCCGGAACAGGAGCACAGAGGATGCAGTCTCCATCGCAATGCACTCTGTCCTCTCACACCTGGACAACAACAACACCTACGCCAGAATGCTGTTTATAGACTTCAGTTCAGTATTCAATACAATCCACCCCTCACAACTCATCAGGAAACTGACAGACCTGGGCATCAGTTCCCTCATCTGCAAATGGTTACTGGACTTCCTGACCAACCGCCCCCAACATGTCCGGCTGGATAACCGCTGCTCATCTACCATCACAATGAACACCGGTGTACCACAAGGCTGTGTGATGAGCCCTTTCCTCTACTCCCTCTTCACCCACGACTGCAGACCTGCTGATGGTTCCAACACCATCATTAAGTTTGCAGATGACACCACGGTGATTGGCCTCATCAGTGACAACGATGAGGCCGCCTACAGGGAGGAGGTGGATCGTCTGGCTGAGTGGTGCGACACAAACAACCTGCTGCTTAACACCGAGAAGACCAAGGAGCTCATCGTGGACTACAGGAGGAATGCTGACCCACATCCACCCATCCACATTAAGGGGACGGCTGTGGAGCGTGTGAGCAGCTTCAAGTTCCTGGGAGTCCACATCTCCGAGGATCTCACCTGGACGACCAACTGCTCCAAGCTGGTCAAGAAGGCTCACCAGCGCCTCTTCTTCTTGAGGACTCTGAGGAAGAACCACCTGTCCTCAGACATCCTGGTGAACTTCTATCGCTGCACCATCGAGAGCATCCTGACCAACTGTATAACAGTCTGGTACGGGAACTGCTCTGCCTCGGACCGGAAGGCGTTGCAGAGGGTCGTGAAAACTGCCCAGCGCATTGCCGGAGCACCACTTCCTGCCATAAAAGACATCTACAGGAAGCGGTGTCTGAAAAGGGCTGGGAAAATCATCAAAGACCCCAGTCACCCATCACATGGACTCTTCACCCTCCTGCCCTCTGGGAGGCGCCACAGGAGCCTCCGGACTAAGACCACCAGGTACCGGAACAGCTTCTTCCCCACAGCTGTCAGACTCCTGAACTCTGCCTCCTGACATCTGACCCACGTTAAACTCATGGACTGAACATACACACACCCACAATGGACAACTGTACCCTCAAACACAATAATAACATGGACTGAACCACCACTCACAACCACTAGCACTTTATATAGCCTCTGTAGAAACTATCTACACCCTCACTTATCTTAACTGCACTACTGTATAGCTCTGTGTAAATAATCATTCTGTACATTCGATAATCTTTAATCCTACAACTGTTTACAACTTGCATAGTTCCCATTTCTGTATAGCTGTATATCCCAGATTCTGTAAAGTTATTTATTTCATATTCTGTATAGTTTTTCATATTTATATCCTGTTCATATCCTGTACATAGCTTGTACTCACTACAGCCTGTACATACTTATAGTTATAGAATATTCACAACATACTTCATATCGTGTACATTATAACATACCATAATAGACCCATTTCTGTAATATACTCACATATCTATATTATTGCTAATATATATTGTAATATATCTATATCACTAAAGCACTTCTGGATGGATGCAAACTGCATTTCGTTGCCCTGTACCTGTGCATGTGCAATGACAATAAAGTTGAATTCTATTCTATTCTATTCTATACTGTCTGTTGTCAGTGTCTGTTTAGCCCTTTTTATAGCTCTGCTAAAGCAGGATTATAAGGGGAAAATCTCAAAGTAGGGAGAAAACCTTTGAGTCTGGTTTTATGTAGTTTGCGGCTACCAGAAAACACAAGTTTATTTGAATCTCATTGTTTTATTATTTAAGTTGTGTGTTCCATATTTGAAGATAGGCATAGCCTTAAAGATCAAATTGCAAAAATTGCGCTTGATTGCATCTGAGTGAAATTCATTCATAGGATTAGGTTACGCAGAGAGGAAGTTTCCTTTTTGTGGATAATGTGCTGAAAGGCATTCAGTTTAGTTTTATTCACTGATTTCTTTAAATCCTATCTCAGTCACTGTACATGTACGTCACAGTTCCCGTTTTTTTTCTGTGTACACACGCAACACAGCAGCGATGTATCACACATGATCTGCACTGACCAACCCGCACAGATGGCACATCAGATATCCTTTGGCCAATGGCATTGTTCATTTGACATAATACCCAAACACTGGCATCCTCTCCAATATCCCCTCCTGCCGTCACTTTATGATCAGATCACACAAACCCTCTCCTCCAACTCCATGTGTTGTCCCCTGTGACGCAAGAAGATCAGTTCATCTCTGACGGGGTTTGCATGTATTCACTTAAGATCAGGGTTTTAAATGACTGGCTGAGATTGGCAGCTCTCATTTTCTGGAGCACAGATACATCTGCTTTCTTTCTTGGGTGGGGGATTGATGCTGCTTTTTGTTGTAATCCTTTTCCACTGCCCATGACACAATGCAATGTAGAATTCTATAAACACACAATTTCAGCTACTTCAGCACAGAACAGCACAAGATTTTATCTTATTTTTTCCCCACTTGCCCTAATGTTGCCTAAAGCAGTGCATTATTATTACTGACCTCCGCAGTAGCAACATAAATAAAAGAAACGTTAACCCTCTACACAAAAGCCTTTTTTTCTTTTTAGTAAGGAAAACTCACATTTTATTTACCTTTTAAAACTTTTGTTGCTGCAAACATATTGTGGGTGCTTTGAACCTTTCATGCTTTCTTTCACTCTAAAGCATCAATGCTCTTTGCAACTTTCCACTCTGTAATCCTCTGTCAAATAGCCCAGTAATCCTGGCTGCCTCTTACATGTCATAATGCATGATCATTTGGGCTTTTCCTCATATTCCCCCATTTCACTCCAGAGCATTAACAGCTTGCAACATTGGAAAAAAAACGGGGGAAAAAATGTGAGTTTGGATCCTCAAAAAACTTTAAACTTTAAGTGTCCTGACCTGCAACAAAAGTGAAACCGTTTTTGTATGTGGATTTTCTTTTATTATAGTTTTGTCTCCATCGTACTGGAGGCATAAGCACGTCAAATGTGTCAGGTGAGGCTGCAAAATGTTCAGTTTCAGTCACACACATCTTGCCGGTTCAAACTAGATCAGGGCAGATGGACTTTGCGTTTTAGGCCACTATGCAATATTGTGCAAAGATGAACAAGTTGTTTTTTTGGATTAGAGAGGGTAATCTGCAAATTTCATGTTTTATGTAACTCTGAAATAGTGTGCATGTTTGCCTGATGTCTACACAAATACCCAGAGATTGGTTTAGTGTAACTTCATAATTAGTAGTGCTGACATTGACATTGAATCTGAGCAGAGCAAAAGGGCTTGTATCAGCATAATAAAGTATATTACATATTTGCAGAGTACAAATACTTTGTTACTGCACTTAAGTAGAATTTATCTGAGTAGTTTTTTAATGGAAACGTTTTTACTTTCAGCCCTACGTTTTAAACAAATATCTGCACTTTCTACTTCTAACATTTTAACTTGTTACTTTTGATTTAACATTTGAGGGGACTTATAATTTCATGTCATTGTGGGCCTTCAAACATCAAACTCATTTGAGCCTAAGCAGTAACACATTAAAGGCAATCCTGTGTATTAATCACCAGGAGATGCTGGGTAAAAAGAGATGAAAGATGCAAAAAAAACTGTGTGCCACAGTTTGGGGTTAAAGTGAGTCAGTGATTTTTTTTAAAAATTGTTTGTTTTCTGGGCGTTTTGGTGTCGGAACGACTGCAGGTGTCCACAGGTAAGCTGTGGTAGCGGTACTTCAGCATCTAGCTAGCCCTACTGAAGAAGAGTGACCATAAAGGGAGTTATATTTCGTGGCAGGTAATTTCAAATGCAGCATTTCCACCAGCTTAACAAACATCAGTAAACATACAAACTGTTTGTGTGTGACATTATTAATTTTTATATTATGCAAAATAAAATGAGGTGGGCTGACAGTGTTACTTAAAGGTTGCATGAAAATAGTCTGCAGTTTAGTCCAGGATAAACTGGTTAGTTTCCTGTACTGTGATGGATTTAAAGTGTGTGTGACTGGTGCACAGTGAGTGTGGTGCTCATGGTCAAGTTAAGTTACATAAAGAGTACTAGAGATTAATATGAACTTTAGCTGATAATGCCTAGATTCATTCATCAAATTCTATCTGCATACCAGCTGCATAGGGTGTAATATAAAGACAGCATAAACAGTGTACTGTCAGTGTAGACGATGGAAATGAGCCAGGACAACTCATGAAACACCTGCTCACATCTGGTTGAATTCAGTTGTGTACATCCTCAAAGAGCAGCAGGTCAGCTAATCACAGCCTGTACATTGAGAAAATCTACTGAAGCACTCAGAAATTATTGTGAGTTGTGATTCTTTTTCCTCATACTGAGCCGTTACAGCTGATTTTAGGGTTCCCCCACCTGCTGAATCCCACTTTAAACCCTGACTGTGTTCATTTGATCATCATGTGATTAACAGAAAATAGAGCTATTTTTTATTATTTTCCTTTTTTTTCCTGCTCATGTTCAGCTTAACGGATTCAAGCAGAGTATGTTTATTAGAATTAATATTTAGACTGAAATAAAGTTTGTATTCATATCTACTAATTTAATTTAATTATTACATGAATAAGGCACGAGGTCCAGTTAGCTTTCCATAAAAACAGGTCTAGGAGTTACTTTCTAACTTTGAGTATATTTCTGAGGCAGTACTTTTTTTTTTTACTTTTAATTGAGTATAGAAGTTGAATCAGTACTTCAACTTTTACTGGAGTATTTTTCAACACTAGTGTCTGTACTAGTGTCTGCACAGGATGTCTGTGCTTTTGCCACCTCTGCATATTTGCAGAACATCTGGTTTAATAAAAAAAAACAAAAAAAAAAAACAGCGCATGTGTAATATTGTTGTGTAAGGCCTTCTTCAAGCATCTCATTTTAATTCCTGTTGTTCATATTTCCATCGTGCTCCAAGACTATTAGTGCTCGAACTATGGCAATATCACAACAAATGCTGCAACATGAACATTTGCAAAGTTGAGAATAGCATTTTGAAGTATTTTTAAACACCTTCTTTGTGTTTCACCTCAGGGACAGTAGTTTAAGCAGCTTCTACTGTTACCAGAAAGTGGCAGAGTACGGTTTGCAAGCTCATTAAGACGGCATTTGTCTTAAATTAATGACATCAAAGCTGTGTTTAAGTTTGTGTCAGTGCCTTCAAGGCTACTTTGGACAGGCACACCCGGTAGTGATGATACATGTCACATTAACTATGTTGCAGTCTGGATGCCTGAACAGTTAAATCAGCACGTTTATAAATACTTCAATAAGTGCCTTTTCAAATTTTACAGTTCATTGAAAAGTTAAATTTGCTGGTGAAGAAGGGGAAATACTCTACTCTAAAGTAACTCTAAATAATTGTAACCTAAATAAAGTAATCTCATCTTGCAAACTAACAAGTTAATAGAGCTGTATCTATAACATACAGCTTATAATTTGATAATATAGTTTAGGGAGAACTTTAATGTTGCTACGTGTGTTATTACTTTATTTAACTAACACTGCCTTTATTTGGAAAAACAATGTGCTTTTATTAGTAGAAAATTCCCCAAATCTGCCACATAGAAAACAGAAGAACCCAGAAAATAAACATATGGCAGCTGCTACAAAACAGTGATCCAAACAGTACAGCACACCTGCAGAGTCGGATTAAAGGCCCTTCTTATGTGATCACTTGGTCTCCTTCACCTGGGCTGATCTTGTCATAGAGTTCAAGTGTCATGAAATCTCTTGTAAGGAGCTTGGATAGATCCTAAACAAACAGTCTCATTTGTTGAATTCTGAATGACTTCATTTCCAAAACCAGGTTTGCGTTCAGGAATTTTAAATTTGGTGTGTCACCACATAAATAAGGGGGATCTAATTGTTTCAGAGTCATACAAAAGCCAAAGGGTGTGAACTGAAAACATGGTTTGAATAATGACAAACATGCCAGGAATGTTTTTCTGTTTTAATAAAAATTGTGTTGTTGATTTACAAGGAGTGAAGCTCTTTGTTGTTTCAGTATATTTCAACACACACACACACACACACACACACACACACACACACACACACACACACACACACACACACACACACACACAAAGCACTGTTCATGTAGGTTATGAAAGCATCAGTCTACCGAACAATCCCACCTTCAGGTTCATTTGCTGGCTGCTCTGGAGCTTTTTATCATCACACAGGACTTAACGAAACTCTGTCTGATTGTCTGTCCTTTCTAAGTTCTTGAGATGGCCTCAGGTCTGAGAGTAAAAATAGAACCTTGATTAAATAGTGTTAATGATCTGGCTTTCTCTTCTGCTCCAGCCTCATCTTGAGCTCTGAAACCAGCGCTTTGCTCACAGAGTCCTGCCTGGTCACCACTGCCTTCTTTAGAGGTTTGGGTGCCACGGTTGCTGAGACTGTGGGAATGACCCACTGCCTCTCCACCGGGAGGCAAAAAGCTGGTGGAGGTGCACAGGGTGGCGGTGGCGGTGGCCACTGTCTCAAAATCCTGCCAGCATTGTTGTTGTGGTTGACATTCTCCACGATTACCTCTGGTTCCCGCTCTTCCTCTTTAACCTTAAATTTCTGTTCGTTCCTTTCGGGTCTCTTTAAGGGGTTTTTAAAAAGCCAGGTGTGCTGTGTCTTCGGCCTTCTCTTCACACGGCGATTGGGCAGGATCCGGTTGGACTTTTTGTTGCGCATGAATGTTGCGGTGGAGATGAGGACTGTCACTATGATCATGAGACTAATGATACCAGCAAGCATACCTAGGATTTGCAAAGGCTTGTTTCTATTCTGCATTAAAAATGATCCCAAAGGCCCCCCTTTGAGTTGAGTCTGTAAAAGAGCACAGGGAGAATTCACATCCATGGGAGTGAAGTCATACTCTGTCACACAAAAATATGTCCTGTGTATGTTTTGTTGCACTTTGTGCGTTCATCATTTGGTAAAAGATGTGTTAAATAAGTCTTTAGTGCCATTATAATTTACACAGACATAAAGAAAAACAAAGTCGCTTATTTATTAAATGTAGTTTCCTTGATGGACGATTGATTTTGTTGCCTGCTTCACTAATTTTTTATTAAATTAGTATTCATCTTCTTATATTTTGTCAAGACAAGATCAGAGAGGTTGTCTGGGAAACTAGCGGAGACCATTCAGCATCAGAATCATAATCAGCTTTATTGACCAAGTATGTGCACACATACAACGAACTGGGCTCCGGCTATTTCTCTGAAAATGAGAATTTATGTGTGACCCAAACACAAACGTAAATAATTTGTTTAATTTGGTCGTAGCGTCATATTAAACCAGAAATACAGGTAAAACAAATTGTATAGGATCATTTATATTGTGCTCCTGTACTCTTTTACAGACACAGCCTTGTTCTGAAATAAAATCCCCTGGACACGGATTGCTACAAAGTCTTGGTACCACATACTAATAACAATAGTATTGCTGTGTTGATGAGCTCAAGGCGAGCTTCCTTTATGGCACAGGCCTCCTTATAATCTTTCTGATCTTGCCCTGAGGTTGCACACGTGTCTTTTTCAAAGAGCTGCAGTACATAACAGTTGAAATGAAGACTGTCAGTGAAATGGCAAAGCTGACAATGGTCAAACAAATCCCAAACACTGTCCCTGGACGTTTCCTTAGGCCCATGAAGTATGAGAAAAATCTGGATTTGATCTGTAAACATGACAATTGCATTTGTGTGAGATTCAGTTTTGTATTTCACTATACATTCTCAAATTAAAATATTATGGTATAGTACTTTGTATAGTGTTTCAAATTTGATGAATGTGCATAAAAATAATAATAAACTGTGGATCTTCTGTTTGATATCATGCTGTTAACATCGCAACTGTGCAGGATGATTTATACAATGTCGATGCATAAAAAACTGGTATCTTAGTGGGTTTATCGTGAAGGCCTCACATAGATTTCATTGTTATATTGCTGGTCTTTTGCTTTGTTTCAACTTACAGCTTCAGTGATGTCAATCTTGATGACGGCGGTGGTGGTGAGGGATGGATGGCCTCGGTCACGGGCCTGCACCACCAGCGACCAGGTGCAGTCTCTCTTCTTGGTGATGTTCTGAATGATGGCCATTGACTTGATGTAGGACTTCAGCATTATCTCGCCTGTGTCAGCGTTAATGTCAAAGATATTGTTTTCTGGCTCAGCTTTCATGATGGCATACTCGATAACGTTGTTGGGGACCTCTGCATCATCATCCACAGCCTGCAGACAGTAAGGGTACTGAAAATATTCACTTTTACCAAGTTTCATTTTGTTTAAAGAGAGCTGCATACCTCTATTTTCACTGGAGCTCCAATCACCATGGTCTTCTCAAGGAAGTTATCATAGAAAGCAGGAGAGTGGTCATTCAAGTCCAACACAGTCACAAAGACTTCAGCCAGGTTGTATTTCCCCTCTGTGTCCTCTGCCTTCACATAGAAGTTATACTTGGACCTGACCTCAGCATCCAGGCTTGCCCACGGCTGTGTGTAGATGATCCCAGAGTCAGGTTTGATCAGGAACCTGTGTACAGTGATGAGTCTTCTGTAAACTGACTTCTTTGGACAATGAATATCAAGACACCATGCACCATGAACATTTTATACGTATTTGTTATTGTAGATTATATGATACTTTTCCCCCCTAAACAATTAGTCATCTGTTTTAAGCACTTGGATTGCACTTCTTGCTAAATCTTGGCACTGATTTTGTCACACAGACTGTGAGTTTTGGAGCTTTGAAATATAATTGTGATGTAGGCTGCTACTACCCCAACCTCAAATCTTTAGAGTGTCATTTAGGTCCAGAAAAAACCTACCTCATTTTTAAATGAGCTAACACAAAATCAATCTTATTACTTCTAGAAGCCAGATTGTTTTCGTCAGCTGGTCCTGTGACCTCATAAACACATACATTTGGTGCATTATGAAGTGATTGTTATTCAATGGAATGATTTTGTGATTAAGAGTATAGAGTAGGGGATATTAGGTGGGTATCCTAATATCCCCTCGGCTTGCTGCCGGTACGTTGGGGTTTTTCCCGGTGGACGAGAGGGTTTGTTCCCTGCGCCTTAGGGTCGGGGAACGGGTCCTGACTGTCATCTGCGCTTATGCGCCGAGTGGCAGTTCAGAGTACCCAGCCTTCTTAGAGTCCCTGGGGGGGGGGGGGGGGGGGGGGGGTGCTGGAGGGTGCTCCACCTGGAGACTCTGTTGTCCTGCTGGGAGACTTCATTGCTCGCGTGGGTAACGACAGCGAGACCTGGAGGGGCGTGATTGGGAGGAACGGCCTCCCTGATCTGAACCCGAGCGGTGCTCTGTTATTGGACTTCTGTGCTAATCACAGTTTGGCCATAACGAACACCCTGTTCGAACATAAGAGTGTCCATAAGTGCACGTGGCACCAGGATGCTCTAGGCCGTAGGTCGATGATCGATTTTGTAATCGTATCAGCAGACCTGCGACCATATGTTCTGGACACTCGGGTAAAGAGAGGGGCTGAGCTGTCAACTGATCACCACCTGGTGGTGAGTTGGATCAGGTGGCGGGGGAAGACGCTGGACAGACCTGGTGCACCTAAACGCGTAGTGAGGGTGTGCTGGGAACGTCTAGCAGAAGCCCCAGTCCGCGAGATCTTCAACGCACACCTCCGGCAGAGCTTCAACAGCATTCCGAGGGAGACTGGGGACATTGAGTCCGAATGGACCATGTTCAGCGTCTCCATTGCCGAAGCTGCTGCATTGAGCTGCGGCCGCAAGGTGGTTGGTGCCTGCCGTGGTGGTAATCCCCGAACCAAATGGTGGACACCAGAGGTGAAGGGAGCCACTAGGCTGAAGAAGGAGTCCTATCGGGCTTGGTTAGCCTGTGGGACTCCGGAGGCAGCCGACAGGTATCGACAGGCCAAGCGGAATGCGGCTCGGGCAGTGGCTGAAGCAAAAACTCGGGTGTGGGAGGAGTTCGGAGAGGCCATGGAAAAAGACTTTCGGACTGCCTCGAAGAGATTCTGGCAAACCGTCAGACGTCTCAGGAGGGGAAAGCGGTGCTCTACCTGCACTGTGTATAGTGCTGGCGGAGCGCTGCTGACGTCGACTGAGAAAAATCAGAATCAGAATCAGAATCAGAATACTTTATTGATCCCTGGGGGAAATTATTTTTTGCTACAGTGCTCCATTTTAAACCAACATTAAGACAAGACAGACAATACGCTAACTAAGAATAGTACAATATATACATATATATACATACATACATACATAAGTCACTTATAAATAAATATTTGGAAAAGAAACATGTGTAGTTGTAGCAGCAAACAGTGTGTTAAGTGGATGCGTTGTACAGGGAGATGGCCACAGGCAGGAATGATTTCCTGTGTCGTTCAGTGGTGCTTTTCGGTAATCTCAGTCTCTCACTGAACGAGCTCCTGTGACTGACCAACATGTCATGGAGTGGGTGGGAGGTGTTATCCAACATTGTCTTTATCTTGGACAGCATCCGCCTCTCCGACACCACCTTGAGGGAGTCCAGCTCCATCCCCACAACATTGCTGGCCTTACGGATCAGTTTATTAAGTCTGTTGGCATCTGCGACCCTCAGCCTGCTCCCCCAGCATGCAACAGCATAGAGGATCGCACTGGCGGTGGAAAATTGTCAGGCGGTGGAAGGAATACTTCGAGGACCTCCTTAATCCCACTGACACGTCTTCCGAGGAGGAAGCAGAGTCTGGGGATGAGGGGAATGACCCGCCAATTTCCAGGGGCGAGGTCACTGAGGCAGTTAAACAACTCCTTGGTGGCAGAGCCCCTGGTGTTGATGAGGTCCGCCCCGAGTTCCTGAAGGCTCTGGACGTTGTAGGGCTGTCCTGGTTGACACGCCTCTGCAATGTTGTGTGGAGATCAGGGGCAGTACCTGTGGACTGGCAGACCGGGGTGGTGGTTCCCATCTTTAAGAAAGGGGACCGGAGGGTGTGTTCCAACTACAGGGGGATCACACTCCTCAGCCTCCCTGGGAAAGTCTATGCCAGGGTGCTGGAAAGGAGAGTTCGTCCGTTAGTCGAACCTCGGATACAGGAGGAACAATGCGGTTTTCGTCCTGGTCGCGGAACACTGGACCAGCTCTTTATCCTCTCCAGGATACTTGAGGGTGCATGGGAGTTTGCCCAACCAGTCTACATGTGTTTTGTGGACTTGGAGAAGGCATTCGACCGTGTCCCTCGGGGTGTCCTGTGGGAGGTGTTGCGGGAATATGGGGTGTCTGGCCCATTGCTACGGGCCATTCGATCCCTATACAACTGTTGCAAGAGCTTGGTTCGCATTGCCGGCAATAAGTCGGACTCGTTCCCGGTGGGTGATGGGCTCCGCCAGGGCTGCCCTTTGTCTCCAGTTCTGTTCATAATTTTTATGGACAGGATTTCTAGGCACAGCCAAGTGGCGGAGGGCTTTCGCTTTGGTGGCCTCAGAATCTCATCTCTGATTTTTGCAGATGATGTGGTTCTGTTGGCTTCATCGGGTGAGGCCCTCCAGCTCGCACTGGAACGGTTCGCAGCCGAGTGTGAAGCAGCGGGAATGAGGATCAGCACCTCCAAATCTGAGGCCATGGTTCTCAGCCGGAAAAGGGTGGAGTGCCCACTCCGGGTCGGGGATGAGTTCCTGCCCCAAGTGGAGGAGTTCAAGTATCTCGGGGTCTTGTTCGCGAGTGATGGGAGAAGGGAGCCGGAGATCGACAGACGGATTGGGGCTGCAGCTGCAGTAATGCGGACACTGCACCGGTCCGTCGTGGTGAAGAGGGAGCTGAGTGTAAAAGCGAAGCTCTCAATTTACCGGTCGATCTACGTCCCTACCCTCACCTATGGCCACGAGGTGTGGGTAGTGACCGAAAGAACGAGATCGCGGATACAAGCGGGAGAAATGGGCTTCCTCTGAATGGGGGCTGGCCTCTCCCTTAGAGATAGGGTGAGAAGTTCGGCCATCTGAGAGGGGCTCAGAGTAGAGCAGCTGCTGCTCCACATCGAAAGGAGCCAGCTGAGGTGGTTCGGGCATCTGACAAGGATGCCCCCTGGGCGCCTCCTGGGTGAGGTGTTCCAGGCATGTCCCACCGGGAGGAGGCCCCGGGGCAGACCCAGGACATGCTGGAGAGATTATATCTCTCGGCTGGCCTGGGAACGCCTTGGTATTCCCCCGGATAAGCTGGAGGAGGTGGCTGGGGAGAGGGAGGTCTGGGCCTCTTTGCTTAGGCTGCTGCCCCCGCGACCCGGCCCCGGACAAAGCGGATGAGGATGGATGGAGTATAGAGTATGCAGCAACAGCAAGTCTTAGCATGGCTAGCTTAACGTTGTATAAAGACTGGAACTAGTTGAAGTCGTGCAGATGCTTTTCGGAGTCTTGTCTCACTGAAAGGTTGCCCTAACTTCTCGTAAAGCCAAAAATTTTCATTAAATTGAACGGACAAGATAAAACAAGTTTGAAAGGTGACTTCAGAGGTGTTAGTGAGCGAGGTCAAACTCTGGTTCTCAAACTCTCGGGGTAGGCTCAACTGATGGAGCACAGAACCACTCCTGATGAGGTGAGGACAACCAGGGGAAAAATATGAAATTGAAATAAGAAGAATACTTTTTGGGGGAAACAAACAAGCAGGATGCTGTTATGGAGACCTCATATTACTAAACTTCAACCTATAGTGCCAGATTTTCTTTAATTATGCGATGCTGGAGAGATAAGATACAGTAAAAGATACAGATTGTTTCACAAACTGACTTGTTTAGCTGTCCTACAAGGTTCCAGCACAAGTTAGTCAGAAGCAAAGAGCAGTCTATTTTCTCCTCCAATCCCATTAAAGGATTATCGCAGACCGAGGGCGGGCAGGCAAAAGGACTGTCTACTCTTGTGTACACTTAAGCGCTCAACCACAAAGTGTAAAACAGTGTAAAGTCTGCAATATGAACTGCTTTATTCTTTCAGATGCAGAGCCCAAGCATGTGGTCATGCATTGCTTCATAACCATTTTAAAATCAAAGCAGCAATTTCGAGAATAATCTGAGGTGACACAGTTTCAAAATCAGTTTGACTAAACAAGTACGCACTAAGCTAAATCTCTCTCCTCTGCTTATTTTGGAAATCCTTGTCCTTGATGCCTTGATGTGACATCACATATCTCTTCTAATTTATTGCTACAGAGGGGTGTAAAAATACTTTCCCCTTGCATTTGAACAACCAAAGTAGATGGTAACCTCATTCCTACCAGCATGTGCCTGTGGGTTTGTGTTGCAGCTGAACAGACAGTGAACATAAATATAAACCCAAAAAATAAAGGATCCCAATGGCAAGATGTGTCTGCATTTTAAGTGTGAGTAAATGCACGCTGTGGATATACAGTACTCTGTAATATCAGAAAGAACTGTGTAGTCTTGGATCTGGAGAATGGATTTCTGCTGGGAAACTAATAAAAAGTGAAAAACACTAGTAAATCCTCTGGGCTACGGTGCTTAGGGGAAATAAAAAGAATCAAGTCGTAATATGAAAAACTAGTGTGCTCTTACATATCTGTCCAGCTTTCAGGCAGATGTGTTTTTGCTACAGTGTATGCTTACAGTGTAGTGCATTATTTGAAGAGATATACTTTATTTGAGCTTCTTGACACAGTTGTACATTAGATATAATGTTTATTCTATAAAATTTGGTTTCACTACTGGAAAAAAACCCACATGTCAGGTGTTGATTACTATATTTTACTATAGTATAGTAAAATATATTCTTTTTTCTTTGTACTATAAACATTAAAAATATTCTTCTGTGATCACTATCCAAAGACTGATGAATAGACACAGTGAAGGCGACAAAGTTATTTAGTTATTCTCTGAACATTTAAAAGATATATTCTAAAATCAAATTAATGCTTTTTCTACACCAATGCATGTGAATATGTGGAGGTCTTGTGGAGATGTTGCAGAGATGTTACATCTGAATATGTGAATGGAACAACAGCATTTAAAAGGACTCATTTTTACTGTGTCCTACTGGCAAAACATAAAGCTCATTTATTGCACTTACAGCTCAGCCCCTGATCCATAGATAGAGTACTTAACTTCACCCCAAGGTCCTGAGTCTGGGTCAAATGCCTGTAGACAGGTATCAATGAATCAATCAGTCAATAAAATCTTTATTTTGAACATAAAGTAAAGACAAAATCAGCAAAAGCCATCATATTCACATGGGAAAAACAAAAACAAAATTCACGTTCACACAGATTCATGTTAGTGTAATATGTTTATGCACTGAGTAATTATACTTTCATTAATTATTTGTAATTATTTAATAATTATTTAACTACTCTAGTATTGTAACAGTATTATTTTTAATATGTCATTAGATACAAATATCCATCCATCCATCTATCCGAGCAACCACAGGCGAGAAGGAGGGTCCATGCAATTATCAATATTTAATGCACAACCTAATAGACATTTAGCACCCTGTCTCATCCATATAGTGCCGTGTAAGTGAATGACAGAGCTATGATAGATCATAGAGAATAAAATGTCATGTTTGGCTGTAGATTAAACACCTGAGTTCAACGCAAGTTTTACAGCAGTGAGTTTAATATGTTGCAGCACCTATCCTACACTAAACTGTCATTCAAGCACAGCCAATGACCAGTACTGTGTTGACTTGCCTTTTCTCTTTCCTCTTTCTTTTTAGTTTGCATCTGTTTTCGTCATGAATGAAGAAAAATCTGCACTTTCGTGTTGTCTGCCAGCATGGACTCAGTAAACTGAATGAAAATGTGCTCAACTGGAACATGATGTTTCAGGGGTCAGCTATAAAAAGACAGATTTTTGATGTCATAGGAACATCATCATCATCATCGGCTAATCTTTGTGTCTGTAGCTGCTGGGATGCCTGTCTCTATGCGTCCAAGGTCAGTTGTTGGCTGCTCTTCTATCTGATTGAAATTGCCTGGGATCAAGGCAACAAACCCCTGTGGTGTTCACGCAAGGTCAGGATTTAATAATGAGCCTCCCTGTTGCTTTGAGCCCCTGTGGGGCTGACAGGAACAGACAAGGGCAAAAGACGATGTGAGCCAAGTATCAATCAAATCGTCATGTCCTTAAGTGTTCCTTTTACTTCAGTACATATTTTGATGCTGTAGAGGCATGTGCTGCTAAGCATCAGAGAAAAAAAACATGTCTGTGAATTTGGTGTTACACAACAAAATGAAAGTGATAGCCATCTGGCAGCTTACGTCGCCTAGCTTTTATCTACATGTTTTCACATATTATCCCAACCCTCCCCGCTCAAAAAGTCTACATTTAGGGGATTAATAGCCCTGTTGGGCATTTTGTTAAAATCAGCATTCCTCTTTAGCTCTGAGTGACGTACATTGGTGATGGCATGTATTTTTAGACAGGATGAAGAGACTGGCTCACCGTGACTGTGACCACATTGGAGCCACCGGGTGAATTTTCTGGAATTCTGGCAATGTAGTAATCTGAAGAGAATTTGGGAGCGTTGTCATTGGTGTCCAGGAGATGAATGACGATGTCCGCTGTAGCGCTGAATTTCTCTGGTGTGTCGATCTCAACCGCAAGGAGCTGAGGAAGAAAAAAATATTAGAAATATACATGCATTTTTCAAACCTAATTTTAATCTACTGTAGTGCATGTATATTTTGGCATGCTAGTGTAAATAATTTACCTTGTATGTTAGAAAGTGGTATTTCTCATAGTCCATGGCAGCAGAGTCTTCTACTAAGATTGTGACTTGGGCCTCATTGAGTACAGTCTGAGGGACAACTCGCAGCATTCTTCCTGGTCCAATCAGTCTCAGGTTGAATTTAGCATTTGCACCCTGCAAAAGCAAAAACACATAATTATCATATCAGATCTATGCTTCATATGCATAGATCTGTAATACATAATAATCTGCATTATTTTCAGAGCTAAAAAAAAAGCAGGCATGTAGTAAAGTCTCTTATAAAAGTGATGAGTAGCAGCAATAATATTCTGGCTCACACAGAAAGATACTGTCTGACGCTGCAACATTATTATCAGAAAATATATGTAGCCCTGGCTATATAAGTAGCTCATTATTTCAATTTGTTCATTAATATTGATAGTTAATTGCAAATGTTTAATGTGTTCAAGAATGTATACAAATGCCTGCAAAGTATGTGATGTGTGTCAGTTAAATGCACAACCTTTTTATTTGTATTTTGAGGTTTATGTCATTATTTTTGATATGGTATTGATATGTACTACAGCTCCAGTGAACCCTGAAGTAGTCTCAGGTAGAGGGGTGGGAGTAAGTGGGGAGCCGTGTGCACTCTGCAGGAAGCGAGAGAGACGAGAGCTGAACAGTGTCGAGTGAACGCAGAGTTCATAGAAGGGCGACAGACGCATTTTCGGGTTAACGGATAGTTAACTGGAGTCGAGAACTGTTGTACCCTACTGTGAGGTAAAGGTGGATTTTGTCTGACACTTGTACCCAATGTTATTGTGTAAAACGGATTAGCGCTAACACAGCCGCTAGCACAACTGCTAACATAGCCGCTAGCGTAGCCTAGCATATTCGCTAAGCTCTTGTTCTGCTCTGTTTTTATTTATTAAGCTAATGCTAAGATTGAATGTTATCGCATGTGAACTGGCATTTAGCGGAGTTGTGTGATTCAGTAGGAGGAGACGGACGTCTTGCTGGTGGTCAGAGAGGTCCCTTCTGCTGGTGTGCTGAAGTTATGTGTTCACGTGGGAGCACGTGGAAAGGACGACTGTGAGTGCTGCTGCCGCGGCCTGCTGGTAGCCGTGACCCAGTTCCCCCGCTATCCCCTTGAACTGCCTGGAGGTGTGAGTACTGTTGTTTGCACGTGCTTTTTATTTGTACTGCTTGGCAACAAGTGAAGCGACCATATTGTTTTAGGTCCCAACGCACCCTAGCCACGCCTCAGGCCTGCAACGAGGGGTTTGCTAGCAGAAAGACTGTAGCACTTGAGGTGTGTGTGTGTGTTTGGTGAGAGTGCGTGTGGGCCCACAATATTATTTGATTATTTTGTTTCTGTTGAGGTAGATACCTTATCATTGTTTAACAAACTTCATTGACTTTACTTATTTTATTTGTGTTGTTAGTTCAGCATTCACTAAAGTGGAGTTAACTTTATAATTGACCTGCTTGTGTGTGATTTATTTCCATATAGTGTAGTTTTATTGCATATTTAATACCATAAGCATTAAAAAGGGAGTATCAATAGGAAAGTAACAACAGGAACCCAGGGCCCCTCTCAATAGAACGTGGGACGGGTGTTACACATATTTAGTGAAAATCAGTCATATGGCTCGTAAAGTACACAGAGCTGAAAACACAAAGACACTTGCGTAAGCTGGCAAATGGCACAGAAAGCACCTTTTAATTGTGTTGGATTCCTTTCAAACTCATGCAATTTTAGAAGGATTGACTGTGATAATGGCAGGATTAAAGTCATTATGAGGACAGAAACACAGACTCTGTCCTGAACACTGTGCTGTGCTATGATGCTATGATTGATGTTGACTAAACCAGTTACTCATTAGATAACATTATAATTATTACAGAAAACAAATGCTATTACATAAAAACCAGTCATTGTTACTCTTGGCTGGCTAAGGCACCTTTGAAAGACAACCATGAGTGGTACGAGTGTTGAAAAATACCTGCAAAAAAGGAAAACTTGAAGCTTGTCATAGTCAGTGTAGAGAAAATAAGACAACAAAGGTGTTCACCTGATCAGAGTCATTGACGGTGATTTTCAGCCCCCGGAGGATCTCTCCCTCGGGTGGATGCTCATACATGGTCAACTCAAACGTGCTCTGTGGGCCGTTCTCTCCGTAGAAAGTAGGCGGATTGTTATTTAGGTCCACAACACGGATCACCACTGTGGTGACCTCATAGTCCATGAGTCTGCCTTCGGGACTTACTTCTGAAGCCTGAACAGATGGAGTAAAAGTCAAGGTATATTTATCACTCTTAGAATCAGAGACATGGGCCGATTGGGTATTTTATCTACCAATTTTACTATCGTGTTTTTCTCCCTAATTTTCCTTGTAGATTCATTGAGCCACTGTTCAGCTAATCAATGCACTTTGATTAGGTCTATAAACATTTTTGTGTGGACACAAGCACTTGTAAATAAAATCAGAAGTACAAAAAAATCCCAAAGTGTTTGTTTACATGCAAGTCTTTAGAAAATAGCTGTCTGAGAAGATCAGGCTTTGATTTATAAAGCAGTTATTATATTAAAATAATATAGGAGAGAATGTATGCAAAACAGAGTTGGTGACTGAACAGCAACTTACCCTGACTTTAATGTTGAAGATTTCTCTCTTCAGATAAATGGGGAGAGTCAACAGGGTGATGCAACCGCTTGTTTTATTGATACTAAAAAAACCGTCATCACCTGGTGAAAAATATTAGATGGATGAACCTTTATATAAATATTTCTCCCTTCATTTTAAGATGATTGTAGCTTCCTTTGACAAAATGGCTCACCATCATCGAATGAATAACGGACTGGATTTGGGTTCCCCACATCACCATCTCGGGCCTCAACAGTGAATATTTCAGATCCCTAGAGAGAGTAAAGTAGAAAGATTTTGCATTTATTAAATTGGTGGTGGCATGCATCTATAAAAAATAGATCTTCAAAAGCCTCTTTTTGAACCACCATGTGTCTGGTGCAGTTAGTCACAACAAATCGCCAAAATCTAACCTTCTCTCTGTTTTCAAAGGCTCATTTAAATGTCACATTCCTAATTATTCTCATTTGGATGAAAGTCAGACTGTGTAAACTTGCTGTGATGAGCTACTGCTGTGACATTTTGCAATAGTGATAAAGCAGTGAAATGCCAGTAATTAAAGCTATGTGATGTGATGTGCCTTGGGTTTTGGGCTCTTTTGTTAGTTATTATTTATACTGCCAATATAAAACCTAATCATTCCACATGATGCCGCTTTATGACAGCAGTGTAACTAAGTTGTCCTAAACGAAAAAGAAAATGACAAAAATGTAGCCATTGTGCTAACTGTGGGGTGGCTGTAGCTCAGGTGGCAGAGCAGGTCAGCCACTAATCAGAAGGTCGGTGGTTCAATCCCAGGCTGCCTCCTGGCTGCATGCCAAATATCCTTGGGCAAGATACTAACCCCATGTTTGCCTACTGGTGGTGGTCAGAGGGCCTGGTGACGCCTGTGTCCGGCAGCCTCGCCTCTGTCAGTGCGCCCCAGGGCAGCTGTGGCTACAATGTAGCTTGTCATCGCCAGTGTGTGAATGTGTGTGTGAATGGGTGAATGACTGAATGTAGTGTAAAGCGCTTTGGGGTCCTATGGACTAGAAAAGCGCTATACAAATGCAGGCCATTTACCATAACTGCCACGTATTTCAACTCTAGACTAAAATCAGTGCATAAAATCACCGGGGGAGCGTTTTCATACTCACTGGCACTGAGATTTCGTAAACATAGCCAAAGTAGGGAGTCCCAATGAAAGATGGCAGAGTGTCTTGAGCATCAATCACATTAATTGTCAGGGTAGCAGAGGAGGACATAAACTGCTCCTTCCCATTAAAGCTACCACCACCATCCTAGAACAAAAGTAATAACAGTTTAAATCTGCATTTTTAAATGTAAGTCTCCTAGATCAAGAAATTGCTAATTTACATGTTCCTCTGCTATAATCATGTTTCATGATTTTATGTTCATCTTTGAGTATAATACACCAAGCACCTTTGCAATAACAATGACAAAGTGTGTCTTTGCTTTCTCATAGTCCAGCATTTCTCCAGATTTGACACGAAGGACTCCACTGTGTCTGTCGATGGCAAACAGAGTGGACTGAGCACTCTGCAAAGAAAATGGAACAAATGCATGATTTTAAAAGCACACGCAGAAACACAAATAAGGGGTTACATGAGCAAAAGCCTGTCACTGGCACTCTTAAAACCCTTTAACAAACACTCACATGAAAAGTGGTCAGGTGGCAGAATAAAACCATACAAAAGCTCCTTGAAATAAGCCAATTCCAATATCCAGTCTTTGCCCATCTGGATGTAAAGTACCCATATGCTCAAGGACATAGCAGGCAGGTGAAAGCTGTTGTGTCCAGATGTGGACTGCCTGTCTCCTACTTCCAAGCCAGCTGTTCTTTGTTCTTAATAGTCCAAAGTGCAAACTAACATTGTGTCGCTGAGCCACCCCTCGCCAACACAAATGTAACTGCCATTTAATCCCCATCTTCATAACTACACCAACATATTCAGGCACAAATACACAGTAACACAGGAAAATATATGTAACCCCTGCTTAGTACAACTATACGTCATCAGTGTTGAAAGCAGATTATTGAAAAAACTTAGCGGTTTACAATTTTACCTAACAAGTAAAAGAGCCCCGGGAGGTGACACAAATCCCTTTGGGGTTGTGTAAGGAAGGGCGTGTGAGTGGGCAATATTTTCCCACTGCAAAGTGATACCTGTAGGTAGTAGGTGACCGAGCCCCCTGAGCCTGTGTCTCTGTCCACTGCCTCAACTTTGTAGATACTGATTCCAGACTCTGTTGTCTACAATGTACAAGAAAGAAAAGGTAACATTTAGAGCTTAACAAGACCTTTTTCACTTGGAGAAACAGATACTGTTGTCTCGGCTTAACTTACTTCCAGTACATCAATGATCGCAGGCATGTTTTGGAATTCAGGCTTTTCATCATTTGCATCCATTACAAATATTGTCACTCTTTCCACAACCTAAAAGCAAGAACCGACAGTAGGATAAAACCACAAAGCATGTTGAAGTTTAGTATTTTGACTTTTTTTTTAAAAGGAGCTAAAAGTTGATACCTTGCTTTGCCCATCAGTGATGCTGACAAGAACATCAATAGAGTCTTGTTTCTAAGTAAATAATAGTAGTAGGTTAATACAGCAACCAAGTTGTTATAAAAACACTGAATTGTCGATCTGTACATCTTTGTAAAGTTTACCTCTCTGTCCAGCTTTTCTACTAATGTAATGTTTCCAGATTTGGAGTCGACGCTGAAGTACTCTTTGGACCCTGGATCAAAGGAAAGGCCGTACCTCACCTCTTGGCCTTCAGGATCTGTGCCATTAAGACGATAAATTTGTGTACCTATAGAGAGATATCATTATTAAGAGTAAATATCCCCTCACAGAAACAAATTGTGGAAAGGTACACAGTTTCTAACCATTTACTATGAGGTGTACGTTTCTTTTGGTAACAACTGCTGTGGAACAAACCAGGCTGAAACACTAAGTACCATTTGGAGTATCCAGACTGATGCAAGGTGTAGAGGGACAGCTGCACTGCATTCGCAGCCAGCAAACTGTCCCTGACATCAACAGGTGGCAGCAGCAGATGAGCATGTTAGTGTGAGTGCATACACGCCACACAACATCTGTTCATCTATCAAAGACTACTTAACATCCTGGACTCTCACATATTGGCCACCACAACACACCATTTTGATGATTGGTTGTTCTACAGTCCTATTAGCTGTTCACACTAAATGTTCCCCAGTACAGAGGTCAATCTCACCAACAGCAGTGTCCTCTGAGAGGCTGAACAAGGCCAGGTTTCCATTGTAACTGTAGGGTCCATTGTCGTAGAAATATGGAGCAAAATCTGCTTGTGCTGCCGGCAGACACATAAATCAGAGAAAAGAATATTTAAATGTCACAGGTTTATTTGGCATAATCTTTGAAAGAAGAAATTGTGCTCCCTGAACTATCGGTGAGTGGAGGCAATAAAGCACAACCTTAATCTATGACTGAATCAGTCTACTGAGTGTTTTGTACACATACTACTGATATGAATTTGTAATTTTAACTGGTTCTGTCTCTATAGATGCTAAAATGGCAGAAGAAATGCTATGTAAACTGTATACACAACCTCCTCTTTCTTTGCACTTTGTCTGGGATTAAAGGTGCATTACATCAACCTCCTAAAATACTCTTTCTATACATAGACCTGCGATCTCTGCTGCTTTTACCTGTAATACGATTCCCGTTATTTAAAACAGTTTTAACCTACTATTGCATATCAGCTTTAAAACTCATTTCATAAAACAAGCAAATAATTTTGTGTATCTTAAAAAAATACTTATATTTCCATTTGGAAAACCCAGGACATAAATAAACTGAAAACTGAGCGGAGGTTCTTTATAACAGTGACAGAATTACAAAATTAATACATAAAATAGCCCAGAGTCTGAATATCATTCACAATCTGATCGCATCAGGATTAGTAAACAGTAAACAGACAAACAATAAGGTAAACTTACCAAAGCAGGCATGCACAAACACAAACAGTAGTAGCAAATGTGGTATCCTTACATGCTTCATCCTAAAGAATAAAGTCATGAAATCGCACCATGAAGACGGCTTCGTCAAGAGACCTCTACATGAGCTACACTTCTCAAGGTGTTCTCTGGCAACTGGAGAAGGCTAAACGCAGATGCTCACATACTAATCCAATGACACATCTTAAGAGCTGATTCAGGGCCCCCGTAGTCTCCAACTGGGCCTTAGCAACCAAAAGGCCAAAGGAGATGACTCTGTCTGCAAAAGCTGTACATCTACAACTTTGCAGTAGATGTACAGCTATATTCTTCACATTTTCAACTTTTAATGTAAATTGTGTTATTACTAGCCAGAAATATACAGAAATCTGTTTTATTCTGATGTTGTCTAAATGATAATTCATAAAAGTTAAGCTATTATCGCACTTTTTACAATCACTGGTCACAGTGAAACATAACGATCAGGATGTTAATTTTGTTTTTTAGTTTTAAAGCTTTGATTTATGATCTGCTCTGAATGACCGCAGTCTCAGCTATGTAACCACCCCGTACTAAATATAATGACCATTTTACATAAAATATTGTGACCAACTATGTTTGATGTAAATTCTATACTGTAACTGTAGTCAGTGATTTGTTTATATTGGACAAGGGTACCATCTGCCATGCAGACTTTACAACCATATGTTTCAGTAACATAAAAAACCCTCACTACCTATGCAAGTAGCTTTTATGTTGAACTTTTATAACTAAAAACATCACATGTAGTACTAAAGCGGGCTAATCTTCTTGATTGATAATCTCATTTTCCAGCAGGTGGAAATCTCCTGTAAACAAATGTTATATAATACTTAGCCAGAGGTCCTCTTTTTACCAAGGTAGTTATTTTTTTTTTACAAATATTTACAAACAAAACATAAATGTTTCCAAATTTGATAGTTTTAAATTCATTTTTTCACTAATCCAAATAGTCAGTCATCATCACTTAAAGTGACTCAAATAATCTAATAATTCTTTCTCAGTTCTCTAGAGTGCAGTAATGTTTAAAAATCCAAGTAAAGACCTCAAACTCGCTGTCTCTATCCTGCTGAAAGAGGCCTAATATAATGTACGAGGGTGTACATGGTCTGCAATGGGGCTTAAGTAGGTGGTACATGTGAATGTAATGTCAACATGGATGGCAGGAGCCCAAATCATCACACTGTCTACTAGTTTACCTTATTCCTGGTGCCAGGTGTTCTCCAGGTAAGTGATTTACACACAGTGGGCAATCCACGTGATGTAAAGGAAAACATGATTTCTCAAACCAGGCCACCTTCTTCCATTATCGTGGCAAGTTGTCATGGTGAAGTGTCCATCGTTGATGCTTTTGGTGGTGGACAGGGGCCACTACAGGGGCCTCACTAGTCTGCAGGTATATATACACAAAAAACCGTATTGCACTGTGTATTCTGACACTTTTCTATCAGAACCAGCATGAAAGTTTTTTGCATTTTGAACTACAGTAGCTCATCTGTTGGATCGGACCACACAGCCCAGCCTTCACATGGCTGCCCATGACCCTGTTGCTCTTTCACCACTGCAATAGATATTGACCACTGCAGACTAGGAACACCCTGCAAGAGATGTAGTTTTCAACATGCTCGGACCCAATCATCCAGCCATCAAACTCAAATCCTTACACTTGCCCATTTTTCCTGCTTGTAGCACATCAACTTTTAGGACAAAATGTTCTGTTGCTCCTTAATATGGGATGGAACAGTATCCCTAACAAGCGAAGAGATAGTCAGTGTTATGCCTGATGTGTGTTTATAGATAGCCTTTTATATCCACATTTCTATTGCATAGCTATCTACTATCTACTTTATAAGCTCAAATTGCAGACCAAAAAACAAGAAGGAAAAAAAATCCCATTTGTTTTTCATTGGCAGATGTTATATGTTTCTTCCCCACTTGGAAAAATAGGTCAAGTATACAAATGCATTGTTTAATTTCTATGCATACCATTAAAACACTTTGCATGAAAGAGGATTTACACACGTGAATAAAGCATTTCAGCATCCAGTCTCGTGCTGTTATTAAATCTACTATATATAATCTGAGCTTTTGTCCTAGAACTTATAGTGGATAACATGTTCTAAGTGTGTGCGTAATTCACGAATGTTTTCACTCAGAAAAACACAACACACAGATGCAGAACATCAGGAGCATCAGTACAGTTTAATATCACTGACCTCTGACAGCAGTTAAATTCTCAGCATATATGATGAAAGCTTTCAGACTGGGCATGTAAATATCCAGCATTCAAAGAGATCAATCATTTTCATGCCTTTTGAAACTCTTACACAATATACTTACTGAAAATGGTCACATGTCAAGTTACTTCTGTGTTGGTACTTAGGGTCATGCCTCCAGCTTTAATTTTTGTAATACTGACGGATGGCATGCATTAAACCACTGTTCTCTAATCTGTACACATGTGATGCATGGAGCCTAACTCTGGTAATATAAACTACATCAGATGTAAATATGAAGCACAGTTAGCACTTACATTGTGGTTGTAAAAAAGCCCAACTGAGTTATGGCACGTAACATTATGTAGGTTCAAAAACAAGTACTTTATATGTGTGCTTATATTTAATAATAGTCATATGAATGCTATGAAGGTTTTTATATCTTCCCAATGATGAGTGTAAAAAGTATGGCTAAAAGTTCACTCTTTTATAGTTTCTAGTATTGTGATTTCAATTATTGTGACATATGTGATAAGCTTCTGATTGTTGGTGACAGACCATAAGGATGCCCAAAGGAATTTTAGGGCCATGCCTAATCACTAAGACTAAACCTGCCTCAGTGTAACCTGAACCATTTGTACTAGCTGCCAACAAATGACAATGATAAGCTTCCAGATGGGTCACATTTGTCATACCACATTTTTGAATGGGTTTGTGTTAACATAAAAGATTTAGCATCAAGATGAAACCATAAAAAAGATACATTTAAGGAATAAAGAGCAGCAGAAGATGAACATGTTGTATCACAAAACAATCAGGGAAGCAAACACAGCAAGAGAGTTCTTTCCAAAATAAAGGTCAAACATGGATTCAATCACTTATAGCTTCTGAATATGTGAAAAACACCTGCATGAAGAATCGTTCAAACCAAGTATTAAAAAGGGGAAGCTCTTTAAGTTTCATTATTTCTCCATAAAGTGTTACAGTTACACTGGATTTTTCTTTTCACATATTGCAGCTACTGTCTAGTGACAAAAAATAAACCCTAAATTATAAAATGCCAAATGAAAACACTGATTATTTATTTACACAAAAGAAAGTAAGCAAACTAAAACTATAGCCGACTATTTTACAAAATTAAAATGATAGCTGAAGCATTTAAATACATTTTATTTCAGATTCCATGTAATGATGATCATATGACTGAATGTTTCTGCCATGAACATTTCAGCTTGTTGTACAGGATTAGAGTACATAGCTCATATTTAGAACACGTTTTTGGCCATTTATCAAGATGCGATGTTGACAGAGAGAGCTACATGTAGAACTAGTTTGGCTCTGTTTCTGTACATGTCTCTGAAACGTGAGAGTCTGGAAAAAGGACTAGTGAACATGTAGATATGTTTATCACTAAGACGAAGAATATTTTGGATTAATCTTGTTGGGTTTGAAAGAATCTCAAGCATACCAAAGATACACTCAAATCATATATTTTTATTCCCTGAAAACAAACTTGTGGGTTTATACGGTATCTGGAGAGCTTGATATGTTTAACATAAATTGATAAAATTCCAGTTAAAACAAGCTGCCCTTTCCCCCCTGCTTAAAAAAAATAAATGAAAGGAAAGTCATGTATTTACCTGGGCGGAAAAGGAGATTTACCAAAAATAGAAAGGGAAACTTTGAATAAACTGAACAGTACTTGTATCACTACAAGAGCACCTGTTCTCAAGCTCCCCACTTCAGCTTTGGCCCTTTGGATTATTATTGATAATCTCTAGTGTGGTTTGCCAAGGCCAAAGGTTTGCTTTCAGTCCTGGTCCACTCTAAAACTGGGTCATGCCTTTAATCTCTCCATCTACAGTATACTGTAGGTTAGCAGCCTTTCATTTTCATAAACTGCAGAATGAATACACGGCACATTTTTTTCTGCTGGAGTAACTGTGGACTAAAATGATCATTAGCATCTGCACAATAAGCAGTTTATATATAATCTATTAACATTTTATTTCCATATTATGGATGAGTCCTGACTACATTAAAAATAAATAAATAAAAGAATTTTTAAATTAAAATGAGGGTTTAGCAGTGAAAAAATATCTAGGAAAACAGCATCAGTAAAAAAAAAAAAGTAGTATTCACAACAGTATTAAACTAAAACCTAAAGTAATGTTAATATATGCAGAAAAATGCACAAAATATGGGTATGGTGTGCTTACCTAGTTTGTTGTTTTCAGGGAATGAAAATATATGATTCTTTGGTATGCTTGAGATCCTTTTAAACCCAAAATGTTTAATGAGGATAACAATGCAATCTGACAAAAAAAATCACAATGAATTAAACACTTTAAGCCCTGACAGGAGCCTACGGAGGAGTTCAAACTAAGCATTTGCTCTCTGATGCACTGCTCCATACTCTGCTTTTACTTTGCTGCCCCCAAGTGGTACAAATCAGATGGTAAACACTACATGTAAAAATAAACAGGTCTGTTTATTTGGCGTGCGTTTGCTTGGATACAGTTTAGAGACAAGACAAAACAAAAACAAAACAAAACACAAGCATCTATCTCAAACAGCGGGTCAACTGTAGTAGTGAGTATCCAGCTGTTATATACTTATACAACCACATCTGTAGATGTGTTCTGGACCTTTTTGCCAGCATACACGTAACAATAATAAGAATAGCAATGTTTACCAGCACCCCACAGACAATGTGAAAGTACATTGTACACAGTACTGCATTATGATTCCATGCAAGTTCTTTGAAAATTGACCGGCTCTGTGAAATTGAGGCAATACTAACTAAATACACACACCTGCTTTTGTGACATGCTTGAATAACAGGAAATAAATAGCTTATGAAAGCTACAGCATCTGCAAAAAGCCTTTTTTGCTGTGCTCTGTTGTTTCTTGCAGTGTAAAGGTCAGCACTGCTCTTCAAAGTAGCAAGATAGGATGCTAATAAAACGAGCTGCTTAACCTACCCCTACCAAATATAGCTATACAGTAATCAAACCAGTGCAGCAGGATATACACAGGAGTACATCTGCAAAGTCTCACCTGTAAGAAATGAATTATTTTACACTGCAACAATCGAAAGCAAAGAGTGCTTTCTCGTTTTTCTTTGTTTGAATTATTTTCTTGTGGTCTACAGCAGAAGAATAGGCTCAGCTCATTCATTGGGAGTGACTGGGACAAGGACAAGATTAGAAATGAATATATCACAGGGACAGTTCAGGTTGAGTGGTATGAAGACAAAGAGAAGGGATGCTGTGATGGTTTGGACATGTACAGAGAAGGGATAAAGGATACGTTGGACAAAGGATGTTAAAAATGGAGCTGTCAGGCAGGAGGAAATGAGGAAGACCACAGAGAAGATTCATGCATACTGAAGGAGGACATGAAGGAGACTGGTGTCACAGAGGAGGATAAGATAGGGTGAAATGGTGGCAGATGATCCGGTGTGGTGAGCAGCTTAGTCATGTCATGACCACATTGACTGCAACTTAAAGACAAACATCAACAAAGTACATTTATTTATACATTAAATTTTTTAGGAGCTATTTCAGTACACAATAAGTTTTACTATAGCCCACTTTAGCATGAATGATTCGCGCAGCGCCACGAGGCTTTACCTCTGACAGGAGGTTATGTTAATAGGAAAGGTTCGTTGGAATCACGTGACCTTGCCAACCAACACAGGCTGTCCGGGCGAGAGTTAGGGGTGCTGTGAAGCGTGGCCAGCTCGCTCTTCGTGTCGTGGTGTCCAGCACGAGAGAAAAGTTGGAGAAAAAGTTTTGTAAGAGGAAATACTACGCTTTAACTATATTTAGGCAACACCGTGCTTAATTACTTGTATGCGGTTTATCGTTTCCTCTCTTTTTGCTTTACTTTTTTAAATCAGTCAGATTTCATTTAAAAAAGGATATATATACATATGCTTTCGCACTGGTCACTCTTTTTAGTCTTCGTATATCAATGTTTCTGTACGAAGCCTCTGTGCTACATCTGGTGGAGGAGAGCAGCCCGAAACCGGGGATAGTACAATGAAGCCGTGCGTCCATCTCCGAGACAAAGCAGCAGGATGCTACGAAAGGACGGTATTTCTCACAAATCAGGGACATTTCACTTGAACTCACCAAGAGGCCAAACAAAGGTTTGTAAGACACACCATCTGAACATCCCCGCTTCTCATTTTAGTGGCTGCAAATCGCGAAATGGTTAAACAGCGCATATGCAGAGCCGTCGAATCGCACGGGCTTGTAAACATCCTCTTCCTTTTGCTAAAAAGGATGTTGAATTGAGTTTGCTAACCTATTGTTTCAACCTCAAATGCGCGGTTTGTTTTCTTTGATGACAGCAGAAATATGCTGCAATAAGCTGCATTTCCGTTTAGCCCACTTTCCATTACACATATCAATTTCTTATTTAAATAAATCGAATATATGAAGGAATAATGCTTTGATTCCTGCTCATTATATACTGTATTAATACTGTGCAGAAGTATGCAGTAGTCTGTATTTATTCTGGATCAGTAGATGGTACAAATTACACTGAATTAAAATCCCCCTCCCCCATGAACGACTGCCAGTGCCATAGTGTTGAGCACACCACACATAGAGGGGTGCAAGTGTGAAACAGTGGTAAACAGTGAAATTAAAGTCAGTCAGTTACATAGAAATAATAACACCTGTGCAAACTATAATGGCTCTCAGTATTTGCCTATAGCACCTTATTGTTTACACTTGCACTCCTGCAGGAACAGCAAATCTTTCAGTGAGACTTTTTGGCTTTTAACATCTCCATGAGATGCTGCTCGGAGGCTTTGAAGGCAGCCATTAATGTAATTTGTAGTGAGATGATAAACAGAGTGATGTGTGTTTCTGCCTGAGCAGATAGTCAGATTTGCCAAACGCTCCAGTGACTCTTGAATATGTAAAAGTGCTCATCTCAAGCGCTTCAGCCTGACAGTTTGACGGCTTTGCCGTATTAAACTAAGATAATTGGGGGATATTTACTCACGGAGCACACAATCATTTCACAAACTACTTGAAAATTGTATTTTTTCCTTTAATTATATGCTTTGTAGAAATTATTCACTCTCCTGACAGGACCAAATGGCATGTGCGTGCGTGTCTACATTTCTTTCTCAGCAACACGGAAACGGCATTATTCAGAGTTAAGAAATTTGTTGTGCTGAATGATTTCAATTAAAATTCATTGTCAATATGGTTAACTTGTTTTCAGAGGAGCACTATGACACCAGTGTGGTATGTCTTCCTAACTGGTTTTCCTTGTTATCCATGCCAGCACAGCTCAATATTCCCAAAGCATGGAAGGATTACTACTTTAGCTAATGACACTGAATAGAATTGGAAAATATCATGCTCCGACTTACCCAGCTGTCTATGCTGATAAATTTAAAAAAAAAATTGAGAGTTAGAATTGAAGATTACTGAACTGAAAACCTGCTGAGGCTTGTGTCTTAAAGGTTACTCCACGGCATGGGAAAGCTTTTGGTTTCTAAGAATGACATGCTGGTGATAAGATGATGATAAGATGACCCAATTCATCAACAGAGACAGTTATAATATGTGTAAAGCTCTACTCCGTTTCCCACGATGTCTTGTATTTGGCTTAATGCTGAATTAAGTGTTAAAGGACTACTTTGCAGTCAGACTGTTTTAGCCCCTGTACCTCCTGTTTTTGTCCCCCCCTTTTTTTTTTAGCCTTTATTTGACACATGCAGAGTGAGACAGATTTGAACCCAGGCCTCGGCTGTAGGTCTCTGTTGCCTGTTCCAACATTTGTCTTTGAACTTATGCCATTCTCCAATCCTGGTGAAAACCAATAGTGTCATTTTCTGTTGCTCTAAGAAATAAGACAAACAAATTTGTAAAAGCTGTTGCTGTTGCACAAGCACCTCAATATAGTTGAAATGTCAGAGCAGCACAAATGCAACCACATATTGGTTAGAGATTAAAAATAGACTGGTTATGTTTCGGTTTGTCTTTAAGCACTAAGGAAGCTCTGTGACAAATAGCACAAGAACTAAGATCCTATTTTTATTTGTCTTTTTTTTTTCTTTCTTTAGAATGAAGCCTCTGCATGACAAGCTATGACCCAAAGAACAGCACTGTAGAGCTCACATTGCAAAGGGAAGACTTAAGAATGAAGACCAAGTATGCAATCGTCTTTATCTGTATTGTGGCCCTGGTCATCATTGAAAAGGAAAGCAACATCCTCTCTAGGTAAGAGTATGGAGAAGAGTGTGTAATAATCTGCTAAATTATATATTATATTTGTGCAAATCTGAGGAAAGCTAAAGGGATCTTGTACTTTTTGGGAGGTGTGTTTCCTTTCTTACCAATAAAAATACATATTAAGACCCAGCAGTCTACCTTAGCTTAGCTTGCCTTGATGTAAAGACTTCAGATGTGGTGTTGCCCTGCCCAGATGTGCTTGCCAAGATGTTTCTGTGCTTCAGATGAATGCACCTTCTTGATTTAACAATCATAAGAACAATAATCTTAACCCTAAAGCAGCATAAAGCCGGGGAGGATATAATTCTCAGGTGTGAGTTGTCTCACAGGGAGAGTTTCAAGCCTTTATCATATTAAGCTTTTGTTTCCATGCTGAAGGTTTTTTTGAGAAAACTGTGTTAAGATAATTATGAAAAGATAGATAAGATAGATAAGAAACCCTATCTAAAAAAGATAAAATGGTACAGTGTCAAGATGTGTAGAGAGTAAGGAGCCAAAAGCAGGACTCAAGGTTGTCAAAATAAAAAAAATGAAACATTTTTTAGGTCAAAGGGAAGAAAACTGAATTCAAACAGGGATCACGCCAGAGTAGATGCAGGGACACTTTCAGCTGGAATCAAACCAGTGATCTGAGGCTTGCCAAGAAAATGTATTAGCCACTTCACTGTGAAGGCACACACACAAAAGAAGGACAAATAGACAGAAATATAAAAATATACACTGTAAGCGCTGGTAGGCCAGAGGAGGCAGACTTGAGGACAAGACACTGCTGAACATAATTAACTCAGATTGAATGTCGTGATGCATGCTCAATCATCCAGGTAAGTAAATTCCAAAAGGTTGAGTCTGTTCATCTGGACGTAGCGTTTTCAGTGGGAGAAACGTTTTGGCACTCATCCAAGTGACTTCTTTAGTCTCAGCGGACTGCAGGTTTCCCCAACCTTATAAACAATACATTTGCACAATGACTGAAACCAGCACCACTGACGAACAGTGGGCTGTGAGGTTAGTTCATTGATCATTAATATGCAAACTGTCATGACCATTGATCAACAACCCCATTGATCAGCGGCCATTGATCAATGGCCATGAGTACCATTCACAGATAGTTGGGGAATGGCTGCAATCACAGCATTGTAAGATGGTGAAAGATCTATCCTTAGGCCGCCTCCTCGATTCAGAGATGGTCTTCTCTGAATCGGTCATCTATGAATCAAGTTGGGGGCCAAAGGGTAGATCTTTAGGTAGGTTTGCTTGGATTAGCAGTTGTAAATATTTTGTGTTATTGTACTGTTGTGTGTTTTAGTCATGTTTTTGTGAAGGAAATTTATAATTTCTTTTGTTTTAATTTGTTATGTACTTTTATTTTGAAAGGACTGGGTTGTAGTTGTACCATGCTTTGGAAGGTGGCCTCATGTGTCAGTGTCACTGATAACTGATCGGGGTTCTGCCTTCCTGTAGGCTATATACAGATATATATCTTTTTACCTTATAAAAATCCTCTGTGCCTCAAAAGTGCTTTCACCCTTGCTGGTTGTTTTAGTTATAACTCAGACATAAATGCAACTATCAGCTAAATAATATATATAAAAAAAAGAATAAAATGTAACACCTTATGGTTGCCAATGGATATTTTATAATGAAGTCTATTTATCTTGTCAGGGTCTCTGACAGATTGATCCAGAGGCAGATTCCGCAGCAGCAGGATTTCAGCAACATAACACAAAAGGGCTCCCTGATGGCACTCAAAATGCTGCTGTCGCGACTCTCTGGTACAAAGAGGGATAACTCAAATTTCTCAGAGGAAGAAGAGGAGGAAGAACTAGATGATTTGGGGACATACAGCTACGCCGGTGGCCGTAAGCACGTATTACTCTTGGCCACCACACGGACAGGTTCCTCATTTGTGGGGGAATTTTTTAACCAGCACGGGGAGAACATGTTCTATCTGTTTGAGCCACTGTGGCATGTCGAGCGCATGCTGACCCCGGCTGCAGAGGCAAACAATGGGACAGTGTTGTCGGGAATTTACCGAGATGTACTCCAGGGGCTTTTCCTGTGTGATTTCTCACCTCTTGAGAAGTTCATCTCTCCCCCACCTCAGGACCATGTCACCCCATCTCTTTTCCGCAGAGAGTCTAGTTTATCACTCTGTGAAGAACGGGTCTGCAGTCCTGTAATCAGAGATGTTTTTGAGAGGTATTGTATAAGTTACAAATCCCTGTGCTGCTAATCAAGCCTGTAATCTTTATTTATGCAGCTGCAAAAGGAAGGCCTGATGGTCATGACACTACTTTAACACTAAGCTATCGTCTGTGTGCCTTATTAATAATATTCCCAATGTTCTTCTGCATGACAACAGAGAAAAAATATTAATTTAGTATATGCATGAAATATTAATATTCCCACTATTCAGTTTTGTAAAATGCTTTTTATCATTTAAAAACGTTATGGTCTTGTTTTAGGTATCACTGTAAGAGTCGTCGCTGTGGGCCACTGAACCTAACTCTTGCATCCGAATCCTGCCTTTCCAAACAACACCATGCCATTAAGACTGTTCGTGTGCATCAGCTGGACACACTGCAGCCTTTGGTAGAGGACCCTCGCTTGGATATCAAAGTTATCCAGCTAGTTCGAGATCCAAGAGCTATCTTAGCATCGCGCATGGTGGCGTTCTCTTCAAAATATCACACGTGGAAGGCCTGGGCGCAGAACGGCCAGGTGCCCGAAGATGATGAGGAGGTGAAGAGGCTCAAAGGAAACTGTGATCACATTAGGATGTCTGCAGAGGTTGGACTGAGCCAACCTCACTGGCTCAGGAACCGCTACATGCTGGTCCGCTATGAGGATATCGCCCTCTACCCTATGCAAAAAGCAGAGGAGATGTACAAGTTTGCAGGGATACCATTTAGTTCCCTGGCCAGGGAGTGGATACTGAGGAACACCCAGACCACACAGAAAGCCAGCGGGATTTACTCCACTCAGAAGAACTCATCACAGCAGGCAGAGAAATGGAGATTTACAATTCCCTTTACATTGGCTCAGGTAGTTCAGAGAGTGTGTGGACCCACCATGAAGCTGTTCGGGTACAGATTTGTGAATGATGAAACGACACTGACCAACAAGTCCATTAGTTTGCTTGAGGATAGATTATTTAATTAATCAGGAGGTCAACATACAGCTGTGAAACTGCACAATACTGCATGGCATGCAGTGCATGTGAGCCAGCAGAAGCAATTACTGTTCAGATCAAAACTGTTAAACAAAGGTGCCATAAAAATACAAACAAAGGTGCCTCACATGTAGGCCATACAGTAAGATGCTCGCCAATGATGTGCCTCATTGAAATAATGAAAAACTACTTGATAAAGGGAAGTATTTATTTGCATACTGTGTTCACTGAGTAGCCTGAAGATTAAACTTTGTTTCATTCTCTTTATTTCATTTAGAAATGAAACAAGCATTGATATCAAGGCCAAATGTGACAGATTATTGTGTAGGATTTTTGTTAAATCTTCATGGTTGAATTTCATGTTACAAACTTAAAGTGAAAGTTATGTGCATATGTTATCTAAGGGAAATTTTGTCTTAGAGGATCCTAAGACCTTTTCTTAATAACACCCAGTTTGGCTGGTTTCATGTTTTTATACATCAGCATTAGTCTAGGCATTTGCTAGAGTTATGTTCGAGTAGACATGATGTGCTGTGATAGAGTTTTACAAATCTTACTCAGGAAAAGTATGTTGTGTCTCGATGACAAGCATTGATATTTTCTCAACAGTGTGCCGTGTAAGAGAATAGGTTCTTCTTTTGAAAACTCTGAGATTAGAGAAGATAAATTAAGATTTATTTATCAATTTAAAGATGATATATGAGAAGTAGTAACACTCATATATCTATATGAAATATCTACTCAACTATTTTTTATTTTATTTTTTTTTATTTCTAGCCAGCAGCCTTAACTGCATCTGTATTAAAGTATTTCTCACTTCTCTAAATGTCCAAGTAGGTTTTGTTTAATTTTGTTGCTTGCGTGAGAGCTGATCTGTTCGTATGTTGGTCATTAAATGTAAGGTTTTTTTTGTTTTCTTTTAAATCACACAACAACTCAAAGTAATAAAATCACCCAAAAATATTAAGACCTGCAGAATCCACCCTGTAAAGATGTGTTGTGTTTTGATATGACCTGTGTAGGTTCACTCACTGGCCAATTCATTTGGCACACTTGTTCAGCTGCTTGTTAACACAAATATCTAATCGACCATTCACATGGCAGCAACTTGATGCATTTAGTTATGTATGCTGAAGTTCAAATTGAGCATCTGAATGGGGAAGAACGGTGATTTAAGTGACTTTCATGCTGTTGGTGCTGATATGCTGGTCTAAGTATTTCAGAAACTGATCTGGGATTTTTCCAATAACCATCTCTAGGATTGAGGGGAAATGATCTGAAAAAGAGAAAATATCCAGTAAGCTGCAGTTCTCTGGAAGAAAATTCCTTGTTGATGCCAGAGGCCAGAGGGGAATGGCTGACAGGCAGATAGGAAAGCAGTAGTAACTCAAACACTCATTGAAGCCAAGCTATGCAGAAGAACATGTGGAAAACCCATCGAATCTTTAAGCAGATGGGTCAAAACAGTGGAAAACCACATCTGATGCCAATCCTGTCAGCTACAAACAGGAAACTCAGGCTATGGGGCAAAAAATATTTTAAAATGATGTTATCTGATCTTATGAATCTAAATTTGTGCTGTGACATTTGGGTGGTAGGGTCAGAATTTGGCATAAACAACCTGAAAGCATAAATTCATTCTGCCTCATGTCAGTGGGTCAGCCTGGTGGTGGCAGTTTAATGGTGTGGGGGATAGTGTTTTAGCATGCTTTAGACCTGTTAGTACCAGCTGAGTATTGTTTAAACACCACAGGCTTCCTTGAATATTGTTGCTGATCACGAGCATTATTGATAACCATCTTCCATGTGTCCATCCTCTGATGGCTGTTTCCAGCACAGAAGGACCATGTAATAAAGTTCAAATCATCTTAAAACTGGTTTCTTTAACATGTCACTGTCCTCAAATGGCTTCTAAAGCCACCAGATTTCAATCCACTGCTTTTGGTATGCTGTGGAATGTGAGAGTCACATCACAGATGTGAAATCTGCAACAACTATGAGATGCTATCAGTGCAATATGAATCATAATTTCTGAGGAATGCTTTCAGCATCCGGTTGAATCTATAACACATTGAACTAAAGCAGTTTCAAGTAGGGCTGTGCGATATGACCAAAATCTCATATCCCGATATAAGAATTCTATCGTCCCAATAACGATATAAATCACAAAAATGTAACATTTTCTGTAAATTCTGTGACTCTCGGGCAGCTGGACTTGCGTGAAGTGTTTCCAGCTGCGCGTCGCGTACCTGGAGTCGAGTGTTTTAACTGATGCATGAAACGATACATTTTTAGACATAAGTTGTAATGGCTGCCGTTTTCTTTGTGAGTATTTATTACACAACGTGCTGCGGGGAAAAGCCTGTTCTAACGTTTGAGTCTAAGGTTTGTTTTTTTTTTTAGCACCTGGCGGCTCTTTCTTACTTCTCATCCGTAAATAATCTGCTCTTTCACGTGATTCAGTTTTGAAAAGTCTTAACAGGATCTTGAGCTCTATTGTGAAAGGTTTATGTGGAACATAAACAAGCGGACACGCGATGGCGTTACCGTCGTTGTTGCTAACGACAGGCGCTTGTCCGTCTGTAGTGTGGTTATAGTAAATATAAGAAAAAGAGAGAACTTTAAGAAATGAATATAGCCACTACAGTGACCATCAAAACGATGAAAAAATATTGCCGTAAACAGTTTATTTTGTGACACCACGAAACAAACGATAGCATAAATTGAAACGATAGACGTTTTTATATCGTCATCCGATATATATCGTTATATCGAACAGCCCTAGTTTCAAGTAATAGCAAGATATACCTAATGAAGTGGCTGATGAGTGTATACAGCCTATGACTTTAAGTGAAACCCAGGTGGTGCTGGCTTAACTGTCAGTCTTGATAAAATATGAAGTTAAGCACTGTGACTTCAGATAAATGGCAATATTGTGCTCAGTTTCACTGTGGCTTCATTGAAGCAGCTGTGAAAGGCATATGTTTCAGAATTTCACGGAGCTTCACTTACCTTCATTTTAAAAACATATGAATTCATATATATGTGTGACATACTGAAGCCAGAACAACCAATTTTGTAGCTCAAACAGTGGGTGTAGTCACAGTGCAACATAGTATGCATTTAACTAATGCAGCTATTCGGAGTGGGAATACATGCAGTTCCTTTTTTTTGGTGGGGAGGAATACAGATGTGCAGTTTCTCCCTGTTTATGGATGATTGCAAAAAGGTTAATAAGGAACAGAGGCTATTGCCAACATAACTTCAAAGTTTTTGTTGTGGCAAAAAACAAAACAAAGAAAATCGGAAAAAGTTTGAGTCTAAGTCAATTCACCAAAGGAAATCTGTTCTTAAGCCTTACTTTGGCTAATTTAGTTAGTTGCACATTTTAGTTCTTTGAATACTGAAATACTAAAATTGTTCTTTTTTACAGCTCAGATGTAGTTCTTTCAAATGCACAGTCTGCCATTGAAGTGCTAATTTAAGGGGGCATATAAATATTTGAATTTCAAGAAATGATTTGGTGCTCAGGGGAATCAGGTATTAAGTTGGCATTTTTGTAAATTAAATCTGACTTAAGCACAAACCTCTGGTTATCAGCAATGTAACAAAGTAAAATAACGTCTGCGTTCTATTTAGATACATTTTACTGAATTAACCAAACAGTGGAAAACTTGACAAACCTTGACTTGACAGAACGATAGAGCAGTAAGTTGTACAGAATGCAATTGGTAAGCAAACACTGGCACTATGTTTACTATAGTCATTGCTTTGATATCCAACTATCCGATCAGCTTATTTTGCTTGGAATGGAAGCAGTTTGAGAATGAAATGGCCAAAATGCAAATTCCTGTGGAATTGTTGATGTAGTTCAGCTGCATATTAAAATACACACTGCTGCTGCCTGTGATCCTCTAAAGGCTTAGTGTGAGTAAAGCAGAAACAGGGAACCCATTCAGGCCTGCATTCCGTCTATCTGCCTCACATCTCAACTGAGAGAGAGCACTTTAGAGTGCACAGCTGTTGGTCAAGCTGATTTTCTCCCAGATCATTTCCCTGATGTTATTTCCACAGCAGAGCAGCAGCTGTTTCTTCCCTGCAAATGAGAAAAGGTTTCCACAATGGGTCATTGAAGATTTGAACCTGGCAATGTGTCAGGTTTTCTCAAGGTATCCAGTGTTTTTGACCAGAACTCAGACCAACTTAGTTACACTCACTGAGCTGAAATACAACCTTGTCTTTTCACTTTGCCATGTGTTTATAATTGCTAATATTTTGAAAGTTTTCCTGACTTTGGTTTCAAGTGTTTTTAACTGACACACTCGACTTGTTGGGCCTGGTTTAAGCCCCTGGCTATCACTCAGGTCTTAGATTCACTATTATGTTCAGAGGATGAATCACTGAACATGCACCATTCCCTCACAAGATGTGAGACGGTTTTCAGCCACCCATTTTTCATCTCGCAGATTTCACCATGAATCACCCACTCGAATCATGTTCATTCACATGGTTGCACTCACTCACTCACTCACTCACTCACTCACTCACTCGGTGAAATGACCAAAATAATAAATAATTGAGTGATTTAAGTTATTGACTATAACTGAGTGCAAGTTCTGAAAATAAATGGATTGTTTCCAAAAGCAATTTGTTTGCTTGGTTTTGTCCACCTACCCTGGAAAGTTTACTCGTGGTTGTTGGTGCGACAACTGGAGACTAACACAGATTTGAGGAGGAGCAAGTAACTCATACTATAAGGCTGTATTTTGGGTTATTATTATTTTTATTATTATTTGGGTTATTATTGTTGATGATCTGGGATCTGAACTTCTGTTTGTAAAATTACACAATTAGGTTCTCTTAACTGTAATTTGCAATGCATTCAATCACATTGCTCAAAGTGAGCACAGAAAATAAATTCTTTGGATTTCTTCAGCATTTGCATGTGGGGAAATGTTGAGATAGCAGGCCACATGCATTAATGGCATTAAATAAAATCATAAATATAATGTTTTGAATGTAAAAATATAAGCATTTTCTGTTGTGTAATCGATACTGTTGACTATAATATTCTATAAGGAAAAATTAGAGCATGCTGCAGGTATTACAGGTACTGAACTGCAATGGTTTGTTCCATATCTATTTATTAGACTCCAATTTGTTCATATAAATGGCAAGTCCTTTTCACACACTAAGGTTATTTATGGACGTCGACAGGCTCTGTGCTATGACCAGTTCTGTTTGCATTATAGGTGTATCATTAGAAGGCATAGCATACATATTCACTGTTATTTATCTATCCATGAAGCCAGATAACAAACACAAATTAGTTAAACTGCAGGAATGTCTTAAAGATACAAAGACCTGGAGGACATCTAACGTCCTGCTTCTAAATTCAGATAAAACTGAAGTTATTGGCCCTAGAAATCTTGGAAATATGTTATCTAACCAGATACTTACTCTGGATGGCATTACCTTGGCCTCCAGTAACACTGTGAGGAACCTTGGAGTCATTTTTGATCAGGATATGTCATTCAATGCACATATTAAACAAATATGTAGGACTGCGTTCTTCCATTTGCGCAACACCTTTAAAATTAGAAATATCCTGTCTAAGAATGAGGATATGTCATTCAATGCACATATTAAACAAATATGTAGGACTGCGTTCTTCCATTTGCGCAACACCTTTAAAATTAGAAATATCCTGTCTAAGAATGACGCTGAAAAACTAGCTCATGCATTTATTACTTCTAGTGTGGACTACTGTAATTCATTATTATCAAGATGTCCTAAAAACTTCCCGAAAGGCCTTCAGTTAATCCAAAATGCTGCAGCAAGAGTCCTGACAGGGACTAGAAAGAGAGCCTTTCTCTCTTATATTGGCTTCCCTTCATTGGCTGTTAAATCCAGAGTTGATTTCAAAATGCTCCTCACATACAAGGTCTTGAATAATCAGGCCCCATCTTATCTTAATGACCTGACTCCTTTCCACAGCATGTCTTTTGTCTTGTCTTCCTCCCCTCCCCTCAACCGGTCATCGAGGTTGAGCCCTGAGCTCGGTTCAGCCGGAGGTTTCTTCCTGTTAAAAGGGAGTTTTCCCTTCCCACTATTGCCACTACTTCCTCATAGGGGGGCCATATGATTATTGGGGTTTTCTCTATATGGATTATTGTACGGTCTACCTTACAATATAACATGCAATTGTGATAATGATATTATTATTATTACTGAGTTTCTGTTTTGGTAGCTTGTAAAGATGCACTTATTTTTATTTTTTAGATATTTGTAATTCATAACAACCTTAATGTTCACCTTATTACTACCACACTTAATTGCTAACATTTGAAATTTCAAGCGTGACACTTGCTTCAGACTGTCATGCCATTACTGTACCAGCATTTCACACAGTGGCTTTTATTCACACACAGATTCAATGAGTCAGCTTGTGCTCGAGAACGAAGGGGTGGAGAGTGAGCTAATGCAACAGGAAACACACCCCCACCTTATCAACTTTTTCGAACTCTTATCCATGTTCCTCCTCTTTCAGACATCTCCTTTGAGAATTGTTCTTCTTTCAGCAGATAGGGGAGTTTACTTGACTCATATCGCAATTGAAATCACATGGTTTTGTTTCTGTTCCTATGTTGAGTTTTCTTTTTCTTAAGGATTATGACACATAGTTTTTTAGCGTTTTAATTCTGTGTCACACGATCCTTATGCTTCCTCCCAGCCCCTCCACCCCTCATGCACACACTTTCTTCACCCCTACTTTTCTTTAAGCACACTCAGGCTCCTCTTTCTGGCTGCCTGTCGTTGGAAGGTAAATAAATCCCGTGGTTGGGGTGGAACACTGAGTGCCCTCATATGGCTCTGGAGGTACTGTGCCTGAAAGAAGCCTTGTGTTTGATTCGGCAAGGTAGATTCACTCAACCATTCCCTGCCCACAAACAGAAATGGTGCTCTGTTGGACCACCTCTAAATAGAAATAGAGTCCTTATAAATATGATTTCAGTCTAAACATAAACTTGGCCTATTCTAAAATATATTCTCCTGTTTTAGCTATATGCAATAATAATTTTAGATATGTAATGTTGAATAAAAGCTTTGATATATCTATGTTGGCTAC